TCATTTAACCACATTGTTGGAAGTAAATTGAATGTTATTAGGCGTACATAAATCATATCTTGGCGGCCCACATTGCAAATCACCATTATATAGTTGTATGTATGTATATATATATATCATAAAATCATGGTCGTATGAAACTGAATCTCCGTAAAATCCAAGTATCACATTATATCACCATCAAATCACTGTCTGTCCTAAAAAAGAAACATCCATCTGGCTCCCTCTATGGCTTTGTTGCCAAGGTGGTCACAGCCGCGGTTCTTTTCCTGGGTGCCTTGGCATTTTTTTGGCAGCGGATTGATTTTTTTCGTCGAGATGGCACTTCTTTCAAATCGCTTCATAAACTTAAGTCACAGCATAATTAAGATGGGTGATTGATATATATATATATGTGATCTATGATTCACCATCATAATTATTATATGTTGGCTTATGTTAGAATTTATGGTGTTTAACCAGCTAATGTCAACCCCAGATTTTGCTAAACCATGGTTTATGACGTTTATGACAATTAGGGGGGTACTCCTCCAATAGTCATTTCATCAAATACTTAAATGGTACCCTCCCAATTAAACAGCCTAGAGGTTTATTAATCCAGGGTTGACATTATGTATATATATATACATGTATTATATATCAATTAGGTTTATTACCATAATCGATTAGGTGATATTATATCAATTACCTGGGTTTGTTCGGCTGGTGATTTTTTATTTTACCAATGGACAATCCACCATGTGGGGAATCTATAATGATTTTTTTTCCCCACCTGCCAGGTGAGGGTTGTTAGATTTTATCAGAGCTGTTCTCCTTATCCTCCTCCTCCTCCTCGTCCTCCTCCTTCTCCTCCTCCTCCTTCCTCCTCCTCCTCCGCGTCCTCCTCCTCTTCTACCACCTCTGCCTCCACTTCCACGTCCACTGTTGCCTTGCCAACTCTTGGCCAAGCTCTTCGCCAACTTCGGAGCTCAGTGCGCACTGCTGGACCTCAACCTGGACCTTCCCAGCCCAGTGCGCACCGCTGGACGTCAACCTGGGACCTTCCTAGCTCAGTGCGCACCGCTGGACCTCAACCTGGGACCTGCCGAGCTCAGTGCGCACCGCTGGACCTCAACCTGGGGCCTTCCGAGCTCAGTGCGCACCGCTGGACCTCAAAAGCCAGATAGAATGCCAGAAGATATGCCAGATAGAATGTCAGATAGAATGCGAGAAGATATGCCAGATAAAATGCCATAAGATATGCCAGATAGAGTGCCAGGAGATAAGCCAGATAGAATGTTAGAAGATATGCCAGATAGAATGCCAGAAGGTATGCCAGATAGAATGCCAGATAAAATGTCAGATAGAATGACAGAAGATATGCCAGATAAAATGCCAGAATGTTTGCCAGATAGAATGCCAGAAGATTTGCGTAGATAATATGCCAGAAGATATGCCAGATAGAATGCCAGAAGATATGCCAGATAGAATGCCAGATAGAATGCCAGAAGATATTTCAGATAGAATGCCAGAAGATTTGCCAGTAAAAACATGTATAAATGTCATGGTGGGGATCACACGAAGTAAAGTATTTTTTTGGGGGGGGTGCCCTTAAGCAAATCCAAGAATAGATTCAATTAGTCTGATATTCTCTAAAATATCCTGTTTGATGTTTTTTTTTGTGATTGAAATAGCTATTCTGCGGTCTTTCTGTGAACAAGACATGTAAATTGTGGGCGTTGCTTGATTTAAATATTTAGATTGAGGCCTTATGTACATGAACCTGGCAGATCTGATGTTAGATGTTTCCCGCTTTGTTTTAGGATCCATGAAACAAGACATGTTGCTCGCCATTTTGATGGAGGAACATCATATGATATATAGAGACATGTGTGCTAAGAGATGGTTTTCACAATGGAAGTGCAATGAGGAGCTACAATTACCTGTTGTCACATGTTATCACTGGATTCTTACACCCCTCTTGCACTGCTAGAGAATTCCAACCTGAATACATCAAACTCTTGCCGGTCCTGTAGCTGTCCATCAAACTCTCCATCAAACTCTGGCCCAAGGGCCTCACCCGGGCGGTTTTGGCTTCGGATTTTCCACAAATTCTGCAGAGCTATGGAAAATCCACCCATTTTTCATGGGAAAATCAACTATTTCGACTGGGCCATGTTCAATATAGCCATGTTACAATTTACCAGAGGGTAATGATATTTGTTTCCCAAGACTTGTCCAAAATTTGGCCGAAGTTCTTCCCGCTATTGGAGAGATGCCGAATGAGATGGTCACTTAAGTAGCCTTTTTCAACAATGGAGATCCCACTCCCGGCGAAGTCCAAAAACACACTCAGTGTTTGGTCAGCGGCAAAATCTCCGAAATTCTTATTGAATACCCTCTGGTTATGTCAAAATAGCTATTGAAAATGGCCATTTATAGTGGATTTTCCATTAAGAATTGTGATTTTCCATAGTTATGTTAGTTTACCAGAGGGTACTATGAATACTACTGTGAACATATTGAGGTTTACATTGCAGTTTGAGGTGATTCACCCAGGTGCTTTGCATGACTGGTCCAATCATGAATGTCACATTGGGAGATGCAGCACGTGTTTTTCAGCATTTTTGGGCATCTGAGATTGGCCATTTCAAAAAAACAGCATATTGTCCCATAGTCCCCATAGATAACCGATAGTTTGTTGGTTAAATCCCCATGATATCCCACAGTTCTGGCGAAGTTGGGAAAATCCTCATCTCCACATTTCTGAAGTGGACCTCGGCGCCCATAGAGTCGTCCGTTAAGATCTTCCAAAATCGATGCGATGTACCGAGGCTTTGAACCGAAGAGTGACACCTTTCTGGCTCCCAGGTGGGTTCGGTTCCAGCAGGTTGTTGCCAAGAAATACCAATGCAACCACCAGAAAGATAGAGAAACACGGTTTTTTTTATTACACTTTATTTAATTATATTACACTTTATTTAATTATATTTTAGTTATAAAGGATAAATTGACGCTGTCCAATTCGTGAAGTTCTTTGGACTTTATTGTGTCTATCTTTTTTGGGGGTTGTTACAAGTTGGTTGGCAATGTCAAACAATTGAACTAAGGATTTAGTGGGAAAAACTGGGGTGTTAATGATAAGTGAAGAAACAACCTGATGGAGTGTGTGAAGGAGACGAAACTAGCATGGTTGCTTGGCTGCTTGGCCTAAAAATTCTATAGAGACAATACAGCCCAGAACATTTGTCTGTTTGGATCAGAGTTCCTGCCCCATTTTGCGGGGCAGGATTATAAGGCCCATAACTCTGGTGCCCCGGATTTAAGTGGAATGCCTGCTCCATTCAAAACTGGTAGAGGAATAGTCACAGGGTGTGTTTGATTCGAGATCAGCGGTGCCTGCGGTTGTCCGTTCCTAAGCTCAAAGTAGGCAGCCCAAATACCAGTGCAATACCTTCAGGTAATGAAAACGTGGCAAACACCCTTTATATAAAAATGAAGGCTTTATGATGCAGACCCACAGGAACATCATCTAATAGATTGGGGATTTCCAGTTGCTATGTTTGAATACTGGAGGGTAGCAGCAAGTGATGGACATGACTTTACCACGGCTTGTCGACCATCATCGCGCTGCCAGTCCGAAGGGTCAGTCAGGACATCTAGCGAAAAAGCTGCATATGCCGATGCCCCCAGAAATTTCAGATGCGGAATCCGTTTCAATGGATAGAACTGGCAATTCTGGCAATTGCACACGTCTTTCAAAAGGTTTCCCTCATCCATGACTTAAAACGGATCTGCCTATGGGTTTGTCCGAAAATAGGGTACAGTACCTCTAAATCCATTGGTTAAATATGAAATCATTTTCCCTATAAAAGTATCGTAGTTGGTGCCAAAAACACCATTTTCAGACAAACCCATAGATCATATTATCTTGTTGGTTATAATGTTACAATGTGGGGCCCCCAGTCGATAGCGTTCAGTTGGTTTATAACTCCAATAACTCTGGTTTATGGTACTTATAACTATAGTTAATATGTTAATGGGGTTTATAAGCCAAGGTTCACATAACTGGGGGGGCCCCACATTGTATATATCCCACCAAGGCCCAGAAAAAGTCCCTATTTTTCATCACCGGTTCGCGGAGCGATTCTGTCGCGGCTCTTCCAGGCGCTTGAGTTCGCCTGGCTCCTTGGTGAGTGATGGCTGCTGTCAATTCGCGGATCATTTCCAAGGCGGTCCCAGCAAGGTGGTGCCATAGGAAAACCATAGGAAAACCGTAACCATGGGAAAACCATAGGAAAACCATAGGAAAACCATGGGAAAATGGGGGATTTCATGGGATTTATAGCTGATTTATGATAGCGTTCAGTTGGTGAACATAACTCCAATAACTATGTCGGACTTATGGATACTTATGGTAGATATATCGAACTAGTTCATGGGATTATAAAGCAACAAACATAACTTGGGCACCACCTTGAGGGTCCAGGTTTTTCGCCAAGGTTTGGTTGAAATGACAGTTAAAGCCCGGAATACCAGTTATGATTGGTTATAAATGGATATAAATGGGATTATCATTTCATAGATTGGGTGACTTACTGACTGATAACTGGTAAAGGGATGTAAAGGGCCTCAACTGTAGGTTGAGTCGGATTTCTGACAGTTTGTGGTAGATATATGCATGTATATAGTTGTATACCTGATTGACGATATTAATAGGGTCTGTAAACCAACAAACTATACCTCTTTTGTATACTATTAATCAATGGTTTACAAACAGCAAATATAGAATGGCGGGGGCACTACGTTGTGATTCCTTAGGTAGGTTAACAATGGTTATTTTTGGTATTTCTTGGCATCAATGGACAAAACACATATTTGTTTTGCAGTTGATAAATCCAAGATTCCAAGATTACGGTTCCAGCAGCCATGGAAGAGGGCCTACAGGGTCGGGTAGATGTGGCGGGGGGGGTGCCCCTCTCTGCTTCTTCTGGTTGGGGGTGGCCCTCCTGGCGGGCGCCATGGTGCCTGCGCCTGGCACGCCGGTGGGTGGTGAACGCCCTTCGCGGCAGCTGGCTGCGGCCTCTGGCGGTGCCATGGATGTGGACTCTGGAGTGGCGGCTGCTGTGGATGATATTCCTATGGCCGCTGCTCCTGCGCCAGGGCAGGGGCGCCTCTACTGCCCTGTTCCAGGTTGCCCTTGCACAGATCCGGCTAGGGCCCCTGGTTGGCAGAGTGAGAGCACTTTGCGTGCCCACGTGGATGCCCACCTTAGTGGCTCCCTTCTTGGCCAAGTGCCTTCAGACTGGCTGCAGGCACGTGGTCGTCAGCGATGTGGGGTGTGCGGCTTGAGCGTCGCTACCCGCTTTGGCATCCACCCAACGTGCCGCCCTGCAGCCCGGGCGGCTGCACCGCCGGCGGCACGGAGACCAGCCGGGCCAGATGATGGGGTGTTGCCATCTGTGTCAGAATTGCAGTCCAGTCGGACACCTACTTTGCGGCATGTTCCTCTCAGTGCTCGTTCTCTGTGGGCCCGCTGCTTCACCCGCGCTCTCGCCGCAGTTGCGGAGTACAATGATGAACGGGCTTGGGTGCACCTGCTGATGCTGCCCCACACTGTCTTGTGTGCCCCGCCGCGTGGAGGCCGCAAGCACCAGCGGGCTGCTGCTGCTTTCACTGTCGAGAGGCTGCAGCGATGGCAAGATGGCGAACGGGCCTCCTTGTGGCTCAGCCGGCCACAGCCGTCCAAGCGGGCCCAGAGGCACCTCACGGACGAACAAAAGGAGGAATATGCCATAGGACTGGCCCGTGAAGGTTTTGACAAGAAAGCCTGCACCGCCCTGCTTTCGCAGGGGCTTTGCCCGGAGACGCCTGAGATTGTTGCTGCCCTGCGCCTGCTGCATCCGACGTCCCCAGCCCCCTCGGTGTCTCCATTGCACGAGCTGCCCATGGCCCCAGTGCTAGACGTCGAGTGCGTCAGCAAAGCTCTTCGGAGCTTCCCTGCCGACACGGCGCCTGGCCCTACCGGCCTGCGGATCCAGCATGTGCGGGACGCCCTGGGGCTTGGTGCGGGAGATGCTCTCATGGACCAGTTGACGGCGGTGGTCAACCTGCTCGTGCAAGGGCATGCATGCAGCAGCATCATGCCTTTGCTTGCTGGGGCGGGGCTGGTGGCATTACCTAAGCCATCCAAAGGTGTGCGTCCAATTGCTATTGGAGAGCTCCTGCGCCGCCTGACGGCCAAGTGCCTCATGCATGAGGTGCGTGCTGACGCCAAGACCTACCTGTGGCCTGCGCAAGTTGGGGTTGCTGTGAAGGCTGGTGGTGAGGCTGCCGTTCATGCCTTGCGAGCATGGGTTGGCCGCCATGCTGCTTCCAACAATTCGGTCGTCGTCAAGGTGGACTTCCGGAATGCCTTCAACACCGTCAGTCGTGACGTGGTGCTCCGAGAAGTGCGGCAGCACTTCCCTGCCTTGGCCCGCTGGGCAACCTGGTGCTACCAGGCAGCCAGCACCTTGCAGTTTGGCAGTGCAACCCTCAGCTCCACTTCCGGTGTGCAGCAGGGCGACCCCTTAGGCCCGCTGCTTTTTGCCGCTGCGCTGCAGCCTGTTGCGGCAGCCTTGCGAAATGGGCCCGTTGATTTTTCCGTCTTCTACTTGGATGACGGGGTCTTGGCTGGCCCCGTTGAAGCTGTGGCGCAGGCTCTGGGAACGCTGCAGCAAGCTTCTGCCAACCTGGGGCTGACTTTGAACCTTGACAAGAGTGAAGCTATTGCAGTTGGAAGAACCAGCTCTGCCGCCTTGGCGGCGCACCTGCCTTCTGCTTTGCTCACTCAACCTGATGGGGTGAGCCGTGTTTTGAGGGACTTTGAATTTCTGGGTGCAGCCATTGGACGGCCTGCTTTTTTGGAAGCACACGCCGCCAGCCGTGTTGAAGCTGCCAGCAAGCTTCTGGACGCTGTTGGAGAACTTCCTGATCCTCAAGTCGCCTTGCGGCTGCTCCGGGCCTCAGCGGGCTTTGCCCGCCTGGTGCACACCATGCGGTGCTGCCCTCCTGCAGGACACAGCCAAGCCCTCGGGAAATTTGACCAGCTCGTGCAAACTTGTTTCAGCACTTTCAGCGGTCTGCACCTTGAACCTAGCCAGTGGGAGCAGGCCACCCGTGGCTTGAGCCATGCTGGCCTCGGACTTCGCTCCACCCGCCAGCATGCCGCTGGTGCCTACTTGTCCTCTGTGGGCGGATGTGTTGACCTCTGCGGCGACTTGGACAGCGGCTACTGGGTGGACCACTCCGGGGACATTGCTGCCGCTTTGTCCGACCTGAATGCCGCCCTCCCCCCAAACCAACAATTGGCGGCCACCACGGCCTTGGCCCATACGCAAAAGCAGCTCAGCAACTTGGTGGATGAGGCAGGCTGGACATCGCAACTTGCCGGCGCCTCGGCCGTTCAAAAAGCCACTCTCCTTTCTGAAGCAGCTCCTGGTGCCAGAGCGTTTCTCACTTGTGTCCCAAGCGGGCGCACCAAGATGGAGCCTGCCCTCTTCCTTGCGGAAGTGCGTGTGCGGCTTGGTGTGCCTGAAGCCAGCCAAGATGCTTGGTGTCCCAAGTGCGATGCAGTGCTCGACACCCATGGGCATCATTCTGGCATGTGCCTAGCTGGCGGGGAGCGCGTGCTTCGGCACAACGCGCTCCGCGACCTGGTCTACAGCTGGGCTGAGAGGGCGTGCTTACGGCCTGAAAAGGAACGGGCTGGGCTTCTGCTGCCCCAACGACCAGATGACGTCAGCAGCGCCCGCCGCCGACCAGCCGATGTATACCTTCCCTCTTTCCTTGGTCGTCCAACTGCACTTGACTTTGCCGTCACGGCACCTCAGCGGTTGGACGTTCTTGGAGCCAGGGGAGCCACTACAGCTGCTGTGGCTTATGCTGACCACAAGCGCCGACATCTCGACACTGCGGCTGCATGCGAAGCCCAGCAAGTCGCCTTTTTGCCGATGGTGGTTGAGACCACCGGGGCTTGGGCCCCCGAGGCTGCCAAGGCATTGGGGCACATTGCTCGCTGCGTTGCTGCAGGCACTATGGCAGACCCCGCTGCTGCGACCTTGCTGCAGCAGGCATGCGTCCTGGTGCGATCTTGGCGGGCCAGGGCGGCCTTGCGCCGCAGGGCTGAGCTGACCAGCTAGACCTTAGTTGCTCCTGGGGCAAGAAGTTGGGCGGCTTTTGCTTTGGCAGTGAGAGGCCTTTACTTGTTTCTGCCCACTCTTTCAGCAGCTGGCCCGGCTAAGCTGCGCTGCCCATGCTGTCTTGGTTTCGGGCAATATGTTTTTGTTTGTGGCGTGGCCTCGGTCCATGCCTAGCTTTGGTTCAGCACATTGGCCAGGTTTTTTTTCCCGCCTCTAGGGTGGTTTTTTCCTGGCCGCGTCAGCCCTCGGGTTGTTGCCTGTGCTTTCTTTCGTCCTTCTGCTACGCAGCCTCCCTTTCCTTCTGAGAAGGAATTGCGGTTTGCGTTTAGGTATTGATGAGTCATGATTAGGCATTCGATGCTTTTGATGCTTTGGATGCTTTAGATGTGGTCTGGTAAAAAAATGCACTCTCCGCAACCAAACTGCCTACATTATGGTATTATGATGTATTATGGCTTTATAAAGGGCTGGATTTCCCCCTGAATTTGGGAATGGACTTGCTTTCAGAGGCTGATTTAAGTGATGTGATGCTTGCGATTTTCCAGTTTTCCAGTTTTTTGTTCCATCCTTGCAGTTATGGCCCTTTACCAGTTATAAGTACTAAGAAAACCCCATTTATAGAATGTATAATCCCACTTTCAACCAGTTATAACTGATTTTTATGGCCATAACTGTTGGTCCCTTTGGTCCAATGACAAGTCAGCACCTACACTCAGGGTGCTCCAGTGGCACTGATCGTCCGGTTTTCCTATGGCATTGATGTATGTCATTGGGTGTTTCAGCCCATTTACCCGGCCTGGTTATGTCAAAAACCATAGGAAAATCATAGGAAAACCATAGGAAAATGGGCATTTCATGGGATTTATAGCTGATTTATGATAGCTATTGAAAATGACCATAGACATAGTGGATTTTCCCATGAAACATGGGTGGATTTTCAATAGCTATTTTGACATAACCAGAGGGTATAACACATGTTAATCCACCGATAAGTAAGTTTGACTCATTTTGAACTGGTACGGCCCGTGACTGTACTGGGCGTACGTGCACTTTATGAATTAAGGGCCATGGGAAACTCTGCCATTCAAATAGCAATGCAGCAGGCGGCCCCAATACCAGGGTCTGTACTATCTAACTGATCCGAGTGAACTGAAAGACGCATGTTCTGATTAAGAACCAGAAAGGCCACTTAAGCGTGTTGTTGATGTTTCGTGTTTTTGGCCATTTGGAGATCTACCCTATCAGTAGCCCAATTGAGTGGCAATCCGTTCACACCTTGAGGCCTTCTTCAGCATCTGTTTCTGGATGAGATCTCAAATCGCATATACGTGTCTATGTTGTTTGTTTATGGCTGATATGCTTTTGATGTTTCTGTTTCTGATATTTACAAGGTGGTGCCCCCCAAGTTATAAGTTGGTTTATAATCCCATTAACTATAGATATATCTACCACAAGTCCTATAGCTATTAGAGTTATAAACCAACTTGGCTATCTTGGGGGCACCACCTTGTTAATAGTGGTAGTTGGATCCAATCCTACCGCCGCAACGGCTATGAGCTAATGAACAGCCCCAATTGGAAGAAGCCAGCAGAATCATGCTTCAGAAGTCAGCCTGCAGCTGGGATTACCAGCTTTACAACGCTAATCAGTTGCAGCTAAGTGGTACTTATTTGGAGGTTTCCTAAAGTAGGGCTGCCCCCAGTCATCATCCATTTATAGAAGGATGTTTCATATTTTTTAAACAAATAGGATTTTCCTAAATTTATCATCCAAATTTTCATAGGATTTTCCATGTATATCATCCAGCTGGGGTATCCCCATTGGAAACCCCCATGACTCTTGACCCTGGCGCCAAGCGTCAACCCCGGTTACACCACGCCAGGTGTGAACTGGTACGATGCCAACGTACGGTCCGACTTTCTAAAGGTGCGCTTCCGATGAAAGGCCGATGATGATTCCACGACTGTATACTTCGACTCGATGGGCCATTATTAACATTGCGAACTAGAAAGCCCACCCATTTTTAATAGGTATTTCAACTATTTCAATGACCATGTCCAATAGCTACGTTCAATTACCAGAGGGTAAGTATCATGTACTTAGATGGGCCATGGGATTAGCGATTCATGGTTAGTAACTGGGGATTTGTTACCCCCTAAATCCCAATTATAATCCATTTACATCCATTTACCAACTAGTTAACTAGCTCCATGGCCCATCTAAGTACCCCATGGAAAAAAGCATGCGCATGTTTTCTTGATTTGACAAATTGCACAAAATCTTCATTTTGTATAGTATTTATGATTAATTCATCTTAATTCCAATTGTTCATGGTTCTATTTCTTATTCTCATGTTTGAGTTAACTGTAAACCCACCCAATGGGCCATATCCAAGTAACTTCCCAGCTTTCGGGCAGAACGTGCTGAGTGTGGAGCGCCGTTTTTTCGCTGTACGGGAAGCCCAGTGACGGATGGGTGACCAGTGGGCAATCTCAGTCTGTTGCCATGAATTTGAGGGTATGATCTAGGGAGTTTGTATATGGGGGCAGTTCTGAGTTTAACATGGGGGTATAGAGCCAAACATGTTTAATTCGAGGGAATACAAGGCCTCAGGGATATCTGGGCAACTAGATTATATTCGGGTGTCTCTGAAAACGGAGGATTTGAAGCCCCAAATGGCCACATGGCCAGGATTTGGACCATGGGATTCGGGGAAACTAGATTCAGATATAGCCAGGTGATAAGCCATGGCCAGTCAGTGGTTAGGATAGATCATATCAAAAATGGCTCATGATTCGTGGTTTTTAGGGCTGACCCGTGGTTTGTCAGTCATTCGTCAGTCATCATTTTAGTTGGCAAAATGGGCCAGTTCGTTGGCAGACGATTTTCCTCGGACGAGGACGATGGATGCATGGGATCAATTACCGAGAAGCTACCTGAATCGCTTCCCAGAAATGATGCCCCATAGCGAAATCGAAATAGACCCCGTAAATGCCTTAAAATGCCATGAGGTTTGTTTCCAAAGTCTGCATCGCAGCATAATTGGTTTGTTCGATGCTGTTGGTACCTGCGTACCCTAGACTGTATACTTCCTATGCAATCATGAGTTTACGAGGCAATGAGGCTGCTGGACTCTGGATGCCAGGGTTAGTTGCATGCCTGGCTGGCTGCTTTGATGAAGTGCATTGGACGATAGCCATCGCGTTGAAACAGGGATTGCAGATCAGGTGTGCGTTCCAGGGCCACAAATGTGTTTCAGCTGCATCCCAGCTTTTCAGATGCTTGCAGCCGGTTTTCAGCAATTTCAGTGGCAGCCGGACCGTCTTCAAGCCCTTTTGAGCTCGTCAGGGTGCTGATTCAGGCAATGGCTTTGAGCAAAGCACAAATTTGAGCACACGTCTGCCTACAACAACACGCCCCTGTACAACAACACGCCTGCCTACAACAACACGCCCGCTTTGCACATCAGCGGAAGGCCGTGCTTTTGCGCAGAAAGTTGTTTCTGAGCGCATGGGCCGCTTCAGAGAAATGAATGCGGATGACCACAAGCAGGGCAGGCGGCGGTTGGGGCGGAGTCTGTCTGGAAATAACTGATCAAAAAGTGAAGCGCCTGCATAGAGGTGATTTCTGCCTGGTTCAGTTGTCATGAATTGATCTGATGGTTGGTTTCTTTGGCAAACCAGATGAGGTTTGTGATACGTGAAACATGTAAATCAGATGCGATTGCCATTCCCATATGCTCCATGGCTTTAATATAGAAACATCCACTTGAACATTTTGATGCTCAACGACTTCACGGCGACGTCCACCATAGTTTTTTTAGTGGGAATCATCCAATGAAGAAGACATAAGGCCTTATTTCACGTTGGTGAATTATAATAATTCAGCCCGATGTATGGAGCCAACTTGAAATGGCATACTTGGCTGAGTATCATAATAATGCGCTCCATACCATAGATAAGACCATCATATGTCTTCATATATGGTGAATCAGGGTGGATTTCCATTTACTTGGCTGAATCACACTGGACAATGGTGGTATTGGCCAATCATCGAACATTGCACTGGGAAAAAACATGGTTTCCCATGATTTCCACTATCCCATAGGATCCATGTATGGTATATATGCTAACATTGGGGGTATATTGATGCTAAATGTTACCATATATAGCATACATGGATCCTATGGGTATACATATATGCCCATTCCCAGCAGCTTACGGGAGATTTCCCGTAGACAGCCATGTGGGTTGTCTGAAAATGGGTGGTTGATGATCATGACTCTCCCGATGAAAAACATTGCCTTTTTTAATGAACATACCCCAATTTCAGACACGTATATCCAAAAAAAATACATCCTCTGGAAGTCATCACATTTGTTGCTTAAATTATATATATTAAGTTACCGTTTATGTTGCTTAAATCCTATTAAATCACCCGTTTTGTTGTTTAAATCCCATGGAAAATCACCATTTATCTTGCGCAAAAATCTCACCAACATCACCAGTTTTGCAGGTGAAATCCCATAAAATCCCCCATGTTTCATATATGAATCCCATAAACAATCCCATTAAATCACCGTTTTCCATAGGTAAATCCCATCAAAATCCCATACAATCCCCATGTTTCACATATAAATCCCATGAAAATCACATTTTTTGGTCGCTTAAAATTCACATGCCGAGGCCCCAGGGGCTGCTTTCGACGCCGACTCGGGCATGACCTACGATGGGCACCTTGGCGGCAGCGTTGATAGAGGAGGGATACGAACATGGTAAAAGACCACTGCAGAGAAGCACTTGTTGAATGATTTTTCATTGTTAACCAATATTTAATTAATATATAATAATAATAGTAATAATAATACTCATCATCATCATCATCATCATCATCATCATCCTCATCCCCACCCTCATCCTCATCATCATCATCATCATCATCATATTTATACATAAATATATATATATATACCGTATACATATATTATGCATATACATATCCATCATTATATAACCATGACACCCTCTGGTAGATTTATAGTTGGACCCTGAACAAATGTTAGCAATTTTTAGTAGAAACTCCATCTGCCAACCTCGATCAATGGCAGGGTCGAATCGGTTGATCATGACTTTCCGTAGTAAACATTGCCACTTTAAGATACTTTAAGGGTATAGCACATGTTCAGACACACACACACAATCCCAAAAAGATTGTGTTTTAGGACATATATTCTGTTTTGGGGGTGAAGAACACTATTTGTTGGGTATTTGTTTATGCTCTGCCTCTACTACTTTAACGGATATGTGTATATATGGATGAAGGATAATTAACGGCATAACGACTTCACTGCGATGTCACTGGAATTTCGTTTATTTGGGGTAGCTATCCCAAAATTATGTTAATTTAAGTCATTGAATTATTGTAATTTATTTAAGTTGTATTTCCTTATATGTATATAATTATACTGTATACATATTATTAATTTATATCCTATACATCTGGGTTTAAACATCTCCAGCAAATAGTTTTTTAAGTCCAACAATTTTGAATTGGGGGGGTCCTGAGTCATAGGGCTTTCCCAGTTATCATCCATTTCAGGGATTGTCCATTACATAAACTATCCAGCGATGGGGGTACCTCCATTCCAGGAAATCACCATATCATTATATCAGGTGCCATAAATCAGGTGCTATTTCTGTGAACTATCATTTTTGTTATAACATGTCAGTGGCCATAATATATTTATGTGCAACAAATGTGGTCAAACATCAGTGACATATTTATTAATACAAATCAGTTGCCACATTATATGTATGTTATCATTATATATATACACACCCTTTGGTAATTTAACATAGCTATTGAACATTGCCCATTTACAGTTTATTTACCTATTAAAGATTATGATTTCCCATAGCTTTTTGTATGTTTACCAGAGTGTAATCATCAGTGGCAACAACCCAACAAATAATGATTTAAGCACAACAGATGTGTTTCAACCACGCTTTAGGACCAGCTTGGACTTGACCACTGGAGATGTACAGCACGGGGTCTTGGACTTTGACGTCCTGGGGCCGTCCTGGGGCCGCGACAGCGGCCTTGATGACTTAAGGTAATAAACCAATTTTATATTCGTAATATATTGGCAATATGGCTTTGACATATTTACATCTTCATATTTCTTAAATTTCATGAATAGGTTGAATGATTATTGATATATTTATTTCTGTTTTTTTAGTTTCATGGATCGTTTTATGTTTTTGTTCATTTTCTGATTGAAGGATTCGAATCATGGGATTCTGGGAGACCGAGCCCTGGAATCATATGCTTAATTCATTAAGGGAAATCATCCCTAGCCATGGCTTTAATTCATGTGCCATGTGCCAATGAACACATGGTTTTTCCTTTTGTTTGAATAAAAAACATGAAAAAACGTGGTTTTGATGGAACAGTGCTTCATGTGACATTTGATATCCCACTTAAAGCCTCGTAGAGGTTATCCTGAATCTGTTTGATTTTGACTCAAACACAAGACCAGCATCATATGTTTGTACATTTTGACGACGAAACAAGAAGAACTTGGACAATCGCATAATAAATATCATATAAATATCATAACATAGTGTATTATCTACACAGTTGCTAAATGGTTTGCCCAGTAGCAGTTTTCAGTCTTGTAGGTCCATTTTTCACAGACACTCAGAGTTGTTTATGTTGTATGAACTTCGATCAGAGGCAAGAAATTTCATTTGTTGCTGGGGAAGCTCGTGAGTTTTTGTTCCATGTATAGAGGTGGCATGTTTGGTGAATGGGCGAGTGGATTTACTTGAGACTTGTTTCTAATCTGAAACTTGTTGCTACCCCCTGGTAAACTAACATAGCTATTGAACATGGCAATAGATAGTGGATTTACCCATTAAACATGGTGATTTTCCATAGTTTTTTGTAGGTTTACCAGGCCGGGAATAGCGAAGATGGTGTTTCCTTCGGCAAAGTCTGAACTTTGAAGGACCAGGACGAATGGAACCATCCCATGTGATTTTCCACCTGGGGTTTCACGTTGGCTTCGTCGGGCCTCGGCTATCATAAAATCCACCCAATCATAGGGTCAAAGTGATGCTCCAGCGAATTGTACAGCTACAGTTATGGCCCGAAATACCAGTTATAAGTACTAAGAAAACCCCATTTATAGAATGTATAATCCCACTGAAATAACCAGTTATAACTGATAAATGGCCATAACTGTATCAATAGAAAAATGTATGTTGAAATATCTTTAGAAACTATCAATATTTCGTTGGATTGTACCCATGCATATTTCCTGTCATGATAGATTTTCCACACATGCCTGTTTCGCTGTTCCCGTTTGTCGTTTCAGCGAGCCATTCTGGTCCGGTGAAGCGTGCAGCGTTCACGCAAAAGCCAACGCCATGGCTGTGGGAAAGAATAAGCGCTTGACAAAGGGAGGAAAGAAGGGAGGTACCTTGTATGCGGAATGCGGATGTAGCACAGCCGCAAAATCAGTATTTATTACATGCATACATGACTATAATATACTATAATACGTATACATATATATATTATATTTTATATATATATTATATTATATTATATATATATAATATATAATATATATATATATATTAAATATATATATATTATGGTGTATATAATATGTATATGTATGTGGTGTATACGTATTTATCTTATGAATATTTGTTGATCCCTGGCGTGATGCCCTAAGAATCTGGGGAATCTTCCAGTCGAGGGGCCCGTGGTTGGTAAGACAATTGACGGGAAAGGCAAAGGATAAACAACCAATGATTGGGATGCCTGGTTGACCAATGTTGACCAGCCATTTCTTTATCATCACAACAGCAGATATACCAGCAGATTCCAGCAGTTGACTCCGTGATGAACTGATAACACGTAACACGTACAGGATGACTGAGTCAGCACCAAGTCTCGCGAGGTCTATAGAGCTGATGCTGCCTCCGGGATAATGCCCTTTTTATCGACCAAATAAGTATGTCATCCGCCAAAACTGGTATTTAAAAAAAAAAAACAGTTGCATTGTTTCAACAAAAAACTGTAAGCGAAAAAAAATTGGTTTGCAAAAGGTGACCATGTGAAATTTGGTATGTGAAATATATATCCCATATGCTCCATGGTGCTGGTATATTTACCTACAAAACTGGGTGATTTTGTTCGGGCAAATGTTGGTCATGTTGATGCTGCTCGGGATGGTGGTCCAGGTGGTCCATCGTCTGATTTTTTACAAATTGGGAATCCTCTCCCCACGTCGGATTCCCTGAATGGCAACATAGACATGTACCATCTGGTAAACGTTAACAAAAAGCTACTGAAAATGGCCCAGTCGAAATAGTGGATTTACCCCTTAAAAATGGGTGGATTTTCCCATCAGTTATGTAAACGTTTACCAGAGGGTATGTAATATATAAACTACTATGAAATGCTCAAGCTGATTCTGTCCCATTAAAGAGAAAACACAAGAGCTTGCTGCTTTATATGGCCGGAAATGTGGACAGCACTTGCACTTGACAGCCCTCAAAGTTCGTTAAATCTCAAGTTTTTATTTTCAAAGTCCTATTGGATCACGATGTTTGATGATCAAATCCAAAAAAATCTATATAAATCCAATGAATTCATAATTTGTCCACCGCATTTTTCGGAAAAAAAACGCCAACAACTGCTGGATTCTTCAAGGCAAGAAGAAGGCCGGAGACCCCTTCCTTCGAAAGGAATGGTACGACATCAAGGCCCCAAGTGCCTTGGCTTCAAGCGGATGCTAACTCGGTAGATGGCTAAATAATACTTAATATGACCATCTGGCTATTTAACATAGCCATGGAAAATGGCCCATAGAAATAGATGGTTTACCTATAAAAAAATGTGATTTTCCATGGCTATGTTAAATAACCAGAGGGTAGTCATATCATCCACTATAGATATAGCGAAATTCATTTCACTCTAAATGAAGGTTTTAATGGGGAAATAATCTACAATATGTGGATGATTTATTGTTATAATTATGTACTTGCATGTTTTTTCAGTTTTGCCAAAGTTTACCCTCTGGTAAACATACAAAAAGCTATTGAACATGGCCCATTTATAGTTTATAGTGGATTTACCCATTAAAAATGGTGATTTTCCCATCAGTTTCTGTATGTGTACCAGAGGGCTTGGCAGATGGGTTTGGCACATCACTGGATCTACACGGCGTCCGGATCTGGCCGAAGCTGGTCCTCGCTATGAAAGCACTTCGTTGGACTCACAAACAGCTGTACTTAGATGGGCCATGGAGTTAGTTAACTATCCCATAGGATCCATGTATGGTATATATGCTAACATTTGGGGTATATTGATGGTAAATGTCACCATATATAGCATACATGGATCCTATGGGTATAGTTATTAAATGGATTATAATTGGTATATAGAGGGTAAAGAATCCCCAGTTGAGCAAACATTCGAACTTAGATGGGCCATGGGATTTTGCCGATTCCTGGTTAGTAGCTGGGGCTCGAGCGGATCCTGCCATCGAGAGCGGGTTCCAGGGGTTTGACCTCGTCCAAGACATAGGAAAGCTTACGGCTGGGCTTTCCTAAAATGGTACCCAAAACTGGATGGTTTATAATGGAACATCCTATAAACTTTAAAAAAAAAAAACATCTATAATCTATAAATTTCATGATTGGGGGGGTACCCCATTCTGGGAAACCTAAGGTCATTTAATATAGTTATTTAATATATCCGAGGCATGTTCACCGTGCGCCAGTGTGGTAAGACCTTGGTCTCCAGGACTGGGGGATGGCTGTGATGGATGTTTTTTGATGAGGTTTGAGCAACAAACCCAGAGTGATTTCATGGGATTTAGCTATCTAAAAGAAGTTGGTTTAATGAGACCTGGTTCCCAAGGAACATTAACTAAGTTTAATTAATTATAGGTAAGTTTAACCGAACTAGGGTTTAGCAAAATGCCACCAAGTTGGTTTAATTGTGATTTAGTGGCATTTTGCCAAGGAACATTATGATTTAACTAACAAAAACAACAGTGATTAATTTGGGTTAACGATCAACATATGGGGTTAGGAAACCACCTGGGTATCTAAGACTGGCCATGATCTCACCTTAGAATGGTGATCCCAGTTGATATGTTTCAGGGTTTCCACCAGCGAGTAATCAGTTGGATGAGTTGTTCTCAAGAACTCATACATATTGAAAAACATCATAGGATTCGAAGGGCACCCTATTTTCAAACAGAGCCGAACTTGACTCGGATGTCCACCCAAGTTACCTACAGTTCGAAGTCACCACAGTGATGAAGCGGTCACTAATCCTGGGACGGTTTCGCAAGCACTTGCGGGAAGGCCGGTGGCGAAAAATACCAAGCACTTGCGGCAACATGGGTGTGTCACTTGCCATTTTTGGAGCCCCTCCATTTTTCACATCCAAACATCGTATTGGTGGGTATATATATATGGGTATATATATATATATATATCCCTGGTTGGTGGTTTGGAACATGGCTTTTATTTTTCCCATCATATTGGGAATGGAATAATCATCCCACCACCAACCAGATCCCCATGGTATCACATTAAATCCCATTGAAGCATCATGTCTCTTGGTGAAATCCCCACACCGCCGTGGAAGAAATGGCTTCGAATAACAACAAACGCGGCTGAGTTCCCCTATGCTTCTATGCTTGCCGCTTCAAACGCCTAATTGTCCTCTTTAAATTCACATATTTATATGCTTGATTGGTTCTGTTAGCGAAAAAACAGACAGGAATTTGAAAGGGTTCTGGGATTTAGATGAATTTTTCCAGGTTTTTGGATCAATTTGCCCGGATTTTTCTGTAGATTCACCACGATTCATTGGTCAGGACCCAAGGCACCAAGATCGCTACGGAAGAACTGAAAGGTCGAGTGTTGGAGGTGCTGGACTCGTCGTATGGCTGCTGATTGATGTCAACGGGTAATATCAATGGGGATTACCCTCTGGTAAACGTTTACATTTTTATGGAAAATCACCATTTTTGATGGGTAAATCAGCAATTTCTATGGCCATTGTCAATAGCTATGTTAGTTCACAGGGTAAATGTGCTTTCAACTATGGGGTACCAACAGTGATAGGGGTTTCAACCAATTGATGGGGTTTCAATATGAATGTATGTATATATACATATATATATATATCGCAGATTCGAGCTGCTCAAGACTTATTGTTAGTTTTGTTGACCTTTCTTTAGGTATCACCTCGTGTAGTGTGTTGAAAAGGTTGCTGCAGTGGCCGCACCTAGGCCCTTTTCGCGCACCTGCATCTTCTTTCTTCTGACTCTTTCTCTTCTCTGACTCTTCCCACCTCTGCTTTTCCATCTGTCCATATTGTCTAGACTTCCTTCGATCATAAACCATAGTTATTGAAGTTACAAACCAACTTAGCTATCTAGGGGGGGGCATTTTGTAGTTTGTAGGATTTCACAGAATTCATTGTGATTTCCCAGAATGTTCAATACATTAGATCGTAAAAGCCCGATCAACAGGGGTAGCTCGCCACTGCTCAATACATTAACTCTCCAGTATATAATTAAATCATATGGCCTTATGGCCCTGTAGCCAGTTATAAATGGGATGAAGCACAACTTCAATGGGAATTTCATGATCCTAAAATGGAGGTACTGTACCATATAAGATCATATTTTGCTGGGATATTCCCTGAAATTTAGGCCTTATATAGGCCTTATATATCCTTATATATCCTTATATATGGTAGGCACCTCCAATTTAGATTCCTGAAATGGCCATTGACAACTGCTGTAACTAAGCCATGCGGCGCAGGTGAACCTGGCAGATCTCAACAACGACGAGGCGAGCGATTGAACGTCCGTCGAGCCGTCATCAGGTGGTGTTCCTCCAGGTATGGCATCGGGTCCGTTTTTCAAAGTAACTCGTGTGCTGAAAAAGAACACTTAGATGGGCCATGGAGTTAGGGAAAGCTAGCTAGTAGATGGATTATTTCATTGGGATTTTTTGGGGGTAACAAATCCCCAGTTACTAACCATTTACTGTAGCTAATCCCATGGCCCATCTAAGCATGCTATAAACCCACTATGATACCGGGATAACCCATTCGCTATGTTTTCTTATCTTTCCATTATTAACGACTGTGACTGTGACCAATTATTATCCAGTGAATTCTCAACTATTAGCCATCATGATCCATGATATCAACCATTGTTTAACCACTAGTCACCATGTTTTTTCCATTCTTCCTATCATTATTTAATCATTATTTGTTTAACCATCATTGTATACCTAATAACCATGACATACCCTCTGGTAATACCTGAAAATCACCCATGTTAAGTGGAAACAACTCTTCCAACCCCGAAAAATGCCAGGGTCGAACTGTTAATTTACCGGAGGGTAATCTGTTTTTGTGAGTTATACATATCTGGTCGCTCATCCCACGAATCATAGGTTATATCCGTGATTATCCGTTGTTTTGTAGTGGGATAAGTAGGGTTAATCCACTGGGGTGAACTAACCTACAAGTCGTGGGGCCCCCAGTCGATAGCTAAGTTGTTGAACATAACTCCAATAACTATGGTTTTGTGGTACTTATAACATCTTATAACTATAGTATTCATGGGGTTTATAAACCAACTTATAACTGGGGGGCACCAGCTTGTGCTATGTGGGAGAGTGACCCGCGAAACCAGGACCAAGCGTCCAAGAAGATCCGCCTCTGCATCGAGGAGGTCCCAGAGATCGGAAAGGGTCAAAAGCGGCAAAATCCCAGCGGCAAATGGGGTTTTTGATGGGAAAATCATTGGAAAACCATAGGAAAACCATAGGAAATATGGAGAATTTTCTCCATTTAAGCACGCCATGTGTGATTACCAGTTGGTAATTTCTCCAGTTGGAGGGAATTGATTTCGGCATTTTTCTTCTTTGGATGCTGCCGCAGGGGGTTGGTGCTTCGCTCACAGGCGTCATATGTTGTTAGCGTTGTTTGTATTTTTTTCATTGGCCGCCTTCGACTCAGCCCAGCCGGTGGATGATTATGCAGTGTCCTCGCCTTACTGGACGGCGCCCGTCGTTGAGAGCTCGGACTTTCCCGCTGCCCCGATTTTTTTTTACTTGCACAATTTGTGGAATTTCTCTGCCGCAAGCTCTGCGATCCAAACAATCAATTTGATTTCTGTGCTTGACCTCCAAGTATCGCGTCGCTTCGCGAGCAGTGCAGTCCATGGGACATTCCCGGATGAATTCACCATTCAATGGGTGACTTTCTCAGTCGATTGTTTTCTAGATGCGCTTATCATGACCAATACCCTAAACCCTGAACCTTAAAGATGTGTTTAAGCAATATTCGTTTCAGTGTGTGATGAATGGGTGGGCATGAATCATTAAATCTGTTGGATGCACAGCCCTTCCCAAGAAGGTCAACCTATTAGGCGGCAAGCATCGAACATATAGATTCAATAATACCCACAAACTGATCCTTCAAATAAACATCATAATAGTTGGTTCCAAGCCAGTTTCACTGCTCCTCCTGCCTTTCTTCTTTGCTGCCGGTTAGTCACCGGCCTATAACCAGTTTCCACTTACTCCATGGACTGTCTAGGTGGATGTGTTGCTGATACCCTCCGGCAAACTAACAAAAACGATTGAACATAAGCCATAGGAATCGTTGATTTACCTTTTAATATTACTGATTTTCCATAATTATTTTTAGCTTACCAGGAGGTAATATGTTGGTATTCAATGTGCATCCTTGTTGTTTCTTTAGTAAATTGTTTGAATGGTTTCTCGATTGTTTTGGGCAGAGATTCTGTTTTCTGCACACGTCGGCCCTACATCGGCCCTAGAGAGGTGAATGGGCCATCTCTTGGGAATCTCTATATTTTTTCACAAGAAGATTTATATACCCTCTGGTAACCAAACATGGCTATTGAAAATGGATGAAAATGGCCTATTTATAGTGGATTTACCCATTGAAATTGGTTATGTTAGTTTACCAGAGAGTAATCCAATGATTTTCTGCTTGATAAACCCTGGTATGAAGCAAAAAGAACAGAACCTTCAAAGGTTTGAGCTGGAAAGTGGCCCCAGTACTCGTGGATAGTGAAAAGTGATGGTCATGCAGAAAACTCCGTAGCGTCTGCCTATTTGTCTAATCGCTCAAAACACATACCAATATTTAGATGAGAAATCATTAGTCCGCTTAAACGCCTTTAGTGTGCAGCAAGCCTTTAATGCACCAGAAATCTCCGTTTTCATTTTGAAGTTCTTTGCATCAGTTCCCCAGTACCCAACCCTTCGTTGCCTTGTCAGGTAGGAGTTTACTGCATATTGTATCCTATATCATGTATCCACAATAATCAATATATAAATATAAATATATATATATATATATGTACTCATTTCATTTGGAATTACTATATATGAAACTGTATGAATATTGATGTGCAGAAGTATACATAAACATCCCGCCGGGTCGGGAATGGAACGTGTAGGCGTTTGCAATCCACTTCTCGGCACTTATGACCAACACTGGGATTTAGCAGTGATTTTGCCTCTGACGATGTTGCAAAATGTACAATCCTGGGTGTGCTTTCGTTTTTTTGAATGTTTTTTTTTTTACCTCAGCGGCAAGCAAATTTTGTCAAAATGCCGTTACCTCCACGGATGCATCTCTAGAGCCGATGGGCCTATTTCCACAGCGGCGTGTGTTTGTTACTCGCTGACTTGTGTTGCCTACAACTTGGCCACTTGAGTGCCACACAGTTGAAACAAGTTATCATGCTCAGCATGTGTGAATCCCCATCAATGAAAGTGCAGGTGAAAATCAAGTAGCGTAGCATGAAGTGCAAGTGAAGATCATGAAAGTGCATGTGAAAATCAAGTAGCGTAGCATGAAGTGCAAGTGAAGATCATGAAAGTGCAAGTGAAAATCAAGTAGCTTGGCATGAAGTGCAAGTGAAGATCATGAAAGTGCAAGTGAAAATCAAGTAGCGTAGCATGAAGTGCAAGTGAAGATCATGAAAGTGCAAGTGAAAATCAAGTAGCGTAGCATGAAGTGCAGTGAAGATCATGAAAGTGCAAGTGAAAATCAAGTAGCGTAGCATGAAGTGCAAGTGAAGATCATGAAAGTGCAAGTGAAAATCAAGTAGCGTAGCATGAAGTGCAAGTGAAGATCATGAAAGTGCAAGTGAAAATCAAGTAGCGTAGCATGAAGTGCAAGTGAAGATCATGAAAGTGCAAGTGAAAATCAAGTAGCGTAGCATGAAGTGCAAGTGAAGATCATGAAAGTGCAAGTGAAAATCAAGTAGCGTAGCATGAAGTGCAAGTGAAGATCATGAAAGTGCAAGTGAAAATCAAGTAGCGTAGCATGAGTGCAGTGAAGTGAAGATCATGAAAGTGCAAGTGAAAATCAAGTAGCGTAGCAAGAAGTGCAAGAAGAAGTGCATGAAGGTGCAAGTCAAGTAGCGTAATGAAGTGCAAGTGAAGATCATGAAAGTGCAAGTGAAGTGCAAGTGCGTAGCATGAAGTGCAAGTGAAGATCATGAAAGTGCAAGTGAAAATCAAGTAGCGTAGCATGAAGTGCAAGTGAAGATCATGAAAGTGCAAGTGAAAATCAAGTAGCGTAGCATGAAGTGCAGGTGAAGATCATGAAAGTGCAAGCGAAAATCAAGTAGCGTAGCATGAAGTGCAAGTGAAGATCATGAAAGTGCAAGTGAAAATCAAGTAGCGTAGCATGAAGTGCAAGTGAAGATCATGAAAGTGCAAGTGAAAATCAAGTAGCGTAGCATGAAGTGCAAGTGAAGATCATGAAAGTGCAAGTGAAAATCAAGTAGCGTAGCATGAAGTGCAAGTGAAAATCATGTAGCGTAGCCATAGACACGGTTGGTATTATCCCCACCCCACCCCACCCCACCCCATCAATGAAAGTGCAAGTGAAAATCAAGCAGCGTAGCATGAAGTGCAAAGAAGATCATGAAAGTGCAAGTGAAAATCAATCAGCGTAGCATGAAGTGCAAGTGAAGATCATGAAAGTGCAAGTGAACATCAAGTAGCGTAGCATGAAGTGCAAGTGAAGATCATGAAAGTGCAAGTGAAAATCAAGTAGCGCAGCATGAAGTGCAAGTGAAGATCATGAAAGTGCAAGTGAAAATCAAGTAGGGCAGCATGAAGTGCAAGTGAAGATCATGTAGCGTAGCCATAGACACGGTTGCTATTATCCCCACCCCACCCCACCTTACCCCGCCCCACCCCACCCCAACTTCCTGAAATGAGCACGACTACACGTACGGTTTTTGACCCGGTGGCCTAAACATCTTAACATGCACATATCTTTACAGCATCGCTGGCTCACAGACCACCAGGTGCAGGGCCGAAGCTGCCTGACGGACTTTCACGGCATGTCGCTGACTCGCGATAAGATCTGCTCGTTGATCAAGAAGTGCCGTAAGCGATTGGATGGAGGGGACGGGAGCTGGGTATTACTCACCATCGAAATATGATTTTACCATCGTTAAATATGTTACTTGCTGAGCAGCAGCATTTCTGGGAACGTGCATGGGGTGTGAAAACCAGGAGAACATGGGATAAATGTCAATGAGAGGAAACCCAAAATATCCCAAAATCAACCCCAAAGAAATGACGCACCCATACCATTTGGATCCATCTGGCCGGAAGCATTGTTGCCTGGTTGATGCACCCGAATGGTAATGGTTAACATGTTAATAGTGGTTATTAATGGTTATTAATGGTCAAGAACGGTTAATTATTAATGGTTAATGATGGTTAACGATAATTATTAATGGTTAATAATGGTCAATACTGGTACAAGTTTATTTCTGAGACATAGTACCCAGATGTAATTAGGCATGGTATGTGTTTTTTTTTTGTGTGTGTTGCTGTGCTTGTGTTGGTGAATGGTAGTTTGATAGCCTGAGAAACCTATCACCAGTGGCAATTGAATTTGTTGAGGTATCCAATGTTAGCCCCATCATCCCTCATGATTATTAATCAAGGTAGACATGATCATTTGCATTGTTCTTAAGATCTTATGTAGACTATGTACATGATATAAACAATTTGTCGTTGCAGTTTTCCACGTGTTCGATCTACTTTGCGGTTGTTGAAAAAGGTTTTGACGTGCGGTCTACATATGATTTTGCTGTGTTTTCTTGATTAAATCCACAAAAACAGTTCCAACAGGGGGAGTGAACTTGGACTTGCTTGTGGTTTTGCTTAAGGAATCCCCCAAAAATAAATCATATTCCCTTTATCGATTCCCCTAAGTAGTGGTTTTTAAGCCTCGATGAATCCCCTTCGCCGCCACGTTTTTTTTTCCATGTCTCAGGTGGCAGACGCTCATCGAAGCACATGTGGATGTAAAGACCACCGATGGATACGTGGTGCGAATGCTCCTTGGCCTGGTTGATGATGAAATAGGGAGCGACTTTGGCACCTGAATTGTGCTACTATGTCTAGGGATCATTGGGTCAACCTTAGATACTTTAGCACTTTAATTTTTTGCTATCAATGGTAAAACGTACTGACCGGCATTTTAAAAAAATGACAGGTATCTAAGATTCACCAAACATTTTGTTATAATTCCCCGTTTAACAGTTCAGTTGGGTAAAGTCTGGTTTTTTGCTTATCAGCAATGGGCATGCTTAGCATCAAATACTGAAAATTGAACCATCAAAAAACATGGTTTTAAACCAATATCGAAGGGTTAATGTCATGTTCGATGGGGATTGAGATGGTTAGAACTATGTAAAATGGGCATCTATTCGGAATATGTGATTGAATATGTGTTTGTCCAGAAGTGTACACATGCTTGAATTTGTTGAAGGTGATTGTTTTCTTCCACCAACCATTTGCAGGATCTATTGAGAAAATGCTAAACATATTCTTGGGTTCAGCAAATCCTGATATGGGAACTGCAAATGGGGTATGAACCCTCAAACGTCTGTATACGTGCACTTTACATAGACAGTACAAAACGCATGTGTGTACATGTATGAAAGAAACCTATCTCATCCTGCCTCTATGTTCAACAGATGAACGCATACCTAACATGATTTTTGTTTTTTCATAATTACATATTTAATAGTTCATGGTTAGTTTTGTAAGACGTTCATTTACTCCTGATTCAGTTGTGGGTTGCCACAGTCATACAGCCGTAAACCAGACTAGTCCAGACAGATCTCCTTTTGTTTTAACTAAACAGTGCTGAACCTCGCATGTTCTGGTCCATGTCCCAATGACTTCCTTGGCATATGAGGTTTGCCATCGCTTTCACCAAGCACCAAAGAGGGCAAGTGAAGGTCAATTGCTACGCTCAGTCAGGGCCTCAACAAAAATCCAGGGAGATCCGTTGTGGCACGTGGACCTAGAGCTTTGATGTTAGTACACAGGGTCTGGGACTGCACATCTTCCAGATGTGATCATAAATGCCTTGCAACTCCCAGTGGTTTTCCGCGAGCTATTCCTTCTACTTGCTTTGTTTTGAAGCGCGACTTTTGATTTAATCAGATGTTTGGAGATGTTTGAAAGCGTCTCGACATTTCTGTGTTACTGCGTTTGCACAAGATCTATATAAACCACACCAAATTCGCTATATAATCTGTTTTTTTCTATCCGTTGATCCTGACCACCTAATAGGTTTGTTACTGAATCCCGCCTCTTTGTTTCGCAAGATCCATGGTAGATCCAACTCTGCATAGATCCAACTCACATCTCTCGCGGCCGTCAACGAATATCAGGTGGGCCGCCAAAAAATTATCAGATGATTTTAATAATCCCCATGAATACTATGGTTTATGATAGATATAACCTGATATAACGAACTAGTTAATGGGGCTTATAAACCAACTTAATCAATACTATCATTGTTGGGGGTTAATGATGGTTAATGGTGGTTAATAATGGTTAATCGTGGTTAATAATCACTGGTTGGTGGTGTTAAACATGGCGTTTATTTTCCATTTCATATATGGGATGTCATCCTTCCGATTGACGAACTCATATTTTTCAAGATGGTTAAAACCACCAACCAGTAATTCTAAGTATTGTGATACTGTCATAAAGCCTATAGTGAAATTGGAGGTCTGTTCACCAACTGAACGGTATCTAACCCCCATGAAGTCACCATACTTGCTTGGTGAACTTCACATCTTCCGACCATCTTCCGCCCTCGGATGGGGCCCTCCAGTTATGTCAGTTTCTTTAGAAAACCCCATCTAAATATAGTTATGTGCGTATCATACAACTTATTTAGATGAGGTTCTCTAAACAAAGGGCTAACTATTGGTTATTGTGAGCATAACTTGTTATGTCAGTTTTAGAAAACCCCATCATACACTATAGTTGGTTTTTATACAATATATATAATATATATATATATCTACCATAAACCATAGTTATACCACCTATCATACACTATGGTGAAATTGTAGTTATGTTCACCAACTGAACGCTATGGTAAACGGGGGCCCCGATCTCCATCCAGGTCGGCGCAGATCCGAAAGATCCGAAAGAAGATGGTGGAGATCATGACCCAGGAGACGGCTCGGAAGCCGTGGATCAGTTAAGGGACCCGCGAAGAAAAAATGGTGATTTAAGCAGCAAAAATGGTGGTTTAACATGGTTTAATGGGATTTAGTGTTGATTCAGAATGGGATTGTTTTTTGGGATTGTGCTAGCTAAGTTGGTTTGTAACTTGCTTAGGTGGCTTCAAACGGCAACAAACACAACTTGCGAGCACCACTTCGTAGAAAAATCTTGTATTTTGCCTTGCGACAATTGTTGGTGTATTTTGGCTGGTTGATTTTGGTTTGTAGAATCTAGGGCGCAATGGCGGCAACTAATATTTAATGAGTATGGTGATGGGTTTTGAACGGGCATATAACGATTAAAATAACCAAACGTGATCATGTTATTGGCTTTAATCGCGTTTAACATTGCCTATTTTTACCATTAACAAATGCTGTTGATTGAGAGTATCCCAATGTATTTTTTTGGTGCGTGCATGAGCAGTTTCAAAAAACATTGCGTTGGTTGAAGGATCATACCGTTTCAGGGAGTGGATAGTAAGGGATCAAAAACAAAAATGTTAATTCAACCAGCAAAGAACGAGATTCAATGGCAATCCACAGGATAATATCGGGATTAGGATTATCCATGCGAGCTTAGTAATTACACATGTGTGATTTAGTGGTCAAAACAAATGGTACTGTAATCTGATCTAATCTAGTACATATTGGGAAGATGTTTGGGATTTGACCAAGACAGTGACTCAAGGTTTCTAAAAGTGTTCGCTGTATGAGGATAGTAATACAAGTGATAAAGAGATATGTGATTCTAATTTCCTACCTTGTGACATTGGCATGGTGATTGGCCATCTTTGTGTGCGGTTCAAGGCATTGCCTGGTAAAATGAACTGCACGTGCAATCTGAGAACAAGAGGAACTGGTTGGTGGTTTGGAACATTTTTTATTTTTCCATATATTGGAAATAATCATCCCAACTGACTTTCATATTTTTCAGAGGGGTGGCTCAACCACCAAGCAGGGAATAAAAGTCTGTGTGAGGTTTATCAATTGATCAGTCTCACACCGAGGATACCCTTGGGATACCCTTGGAGCCAGCTCGAACTCTGTGGTGGGTCATCTCATTACGGACCCGGGCAGAAAAACCTCCACAAAGTGACTGATCCAGATCCAACTGATCTCAACAAAGTGACTCTTCAAACACGTACCCGGCCTGGTAAACATACAAACATAGCTTTTGATGCTATTGAACATGGCAATTCACGTGGTGGATTTTCCCATTAAAACTGGGTGGATTTTCCATAGTTATGTTAATTTACCAGAGGGCAGACTCCATCATTTCGCGTATCAAGTATCCAACAACCTTGAAAACGACCAATCCGTCAGTGTTTCAGAGAACCAGAACCCAGATATATTCTGGTGGTTATCATTGTTATAAATCTTCACGCAACTACAATCAAAATTCACCAATCGGTTACTAGATATTACTAGAACATCTCAGTTGAATCATGAAAAACTATAATTACTCACCATTTACTTAGCATATTGTTCTCAGCAGTTTACTATTTACCCATCAATAAACCTTAACTGCACCCCTGGCCACGGCCTTTTTTGGGCACCGCGGCACCCACCTTCGCCGCTACGCCATGGCCACGAAAGCGGGCTTGGAAATCGGTCCCTCCACGATTTTCGACGCGCGGCCGAGCTTGGTGGAGCCCACCGTGATGCACCTGGGACGCATCTTGGAGGAACACAGCAAGGCGGGTCCCCTGGCCGCGCCCCCGTTGGGGCTGGGCGGGGCCCTGGCCGGGGTGTAACTGTGGTGCCAGGGTCAGATGAGTTGGTTGAGAAAATGTAGGAGAATTCTTGGGTTTTGGAATGGTTGGTATACCATCTGGTTATTTAACATAGCCATGGAAAATCACCATTTTTAAGTTCGGTAAACCATCTATTTCTATGGGCCATCTATACCATGGCTATGTTAGTCATAACCAGAAGGTAAGTATTTTTGATATATATATATAATCATGATGTATCTATAGATGGGGTGAACATCGACTGACTGGCAAAGGGGCACCACCTGAAAGGTGGGGCTGGTTTGTTGTGGGAGTGTTCAGGTGAAACGTGGTTGGGAAGAGGGTGTCAAACCCGAAGCGAAGCAAATATCGGTGATGATGACGGTCCAGTGTGGTCCAGCAACCATTGACGTGGTCAGACGTGGTCACAAGATGGTGGTTTCATGAAATAGGGGTACCCCAAATCCACAATTAGCCAATATTTTTGTATTAAAATGTATTAAAACCCATGACGTGATTTTTGGGTAGCCTCATTGTAGGAAATCGCCAAAGGAGTTGCTTTTTGGTGTTTGGATCTCACTGTTCTCAGTGAGACCAGCCGTGCTGACCCTGGGAGGTTTTGCAAACGAATGGACAGATGGAACTTGAAGTCCGCCTAGGAGTCTCAGTTGATATTCAGAAAATGACCACGGCAAAAACCGTGCACAAATGGCTGAATCCGTTTTCTTTTCCGTGTTCAATGATGAAGTTGACAGGGGTCTTGGCGAGGACTTTCACCATAACAGCCCACGTTAGGCTTCACCCCTCTGAGCCTAGGAGTCTTGAGGCCTTTCCATGCCAAAAGCTTTCAACGGGTGGACCTGCCATGCTCAAGCGAAGCCTTGCTGATTCCCAAGTGCCACTGGTCATTGGGGTGACGTTGGGGTTTGAATTGTGGCCTTGGGTCGCGCAGTCAACGATATTCAAGTATGCTCCAGTCATCAGAATTGGAGTGAAGCCATGACAAAAAATGCTAGGGAGTAAAACGGGCAAGTCATTCAGAATGGGGTGGGTGTCCCATATGCTCCATGTATGGAATATTTACATATATTTGCCAGCATTTGCCCTGAAAATCACCCAGTTTTGTAGGTAAATATACCAGCACCATGTTTCGCATCTGGGAGTGACAACTGTGACCAGCCAGCGACTTGGGGATCATTAGACTAGCTGACACCCGGCATTTGCCTTGATTGTCAAAGTATCCATAGGAACGGCTACCCTCTGGTTATTTAACATAGCCATGGTATAGATGGCCCATTTATAGATGGTTTACCTATTAAAAATGGTGATTTTCCATGGCTATGTTAAATAATCAGATGGTAAATAAATCCAATTCTTGGCAGATTATAATCATTTGACAGATATATAAATTATAATCATTATAAAGTACCCACAGGCACCACTAAATGTTCCGGTTCTGGATAGATTATTATATCATATATTATCATTTGATGTTTTGCGTACCGCTCCGTGCCCAGGCAAGGACTTTCAGTATCGCTTCGAACCCGGGTTGCCTCCGGAGTTGCTTGGACATGGTGTACGGCGAAGCAGATGGCTGCTGGGAGGGTAAATAATATACCTGGGGAGTAGAATAGTTCACTTTGGACAGGGATATATACGGATATATGATATAATGTGGTAGACGCAACAAACCTAGCATTTGAGCCATAGAAAATATTGTATTTTTGGGGATTGTTTTTCTAGGGTGTACGACATTAATGATACAATTTGACAGTTGTTTGTTGGGCTGTTTTTCGGCCACAACAATGAGGATAGTCTTTACTGCCGAGATAACTACTGATATTGAGTTGGTACAGCATGTTTATATATAAGATTATCTATGACATGATCGAAAAATACATATTGTGAGTTGACTCTTTAGTCTTTCACAACTGGGATATCTTGGGGTTAGCAGCAGGAGTATTGGAGAGCTCAAAGCCATGCAGCACATAGCGACTCAGATTTTCTATGATTTTGTGGTGTCTTTTTTCATACCTTACCCTCTGGTAAACATACAAAAAGCTATTGAACATTGCCATTTATAGTTGATTTACCCTTTCATAGCATGGTTGTTTTCCATAGTTATGTTAGTTTACCAGAGGGTACCCAGAAAACATGCTTTGCACTCCCACTTTTCATGGCGCAACTGGCTCAACTCTCCATTTTTCCGAAGGGCCATGGTCCGAGGATCTACGCACCGTTGATGAAGAAGCTGGATGCCTTGCGAAAGGAGCAACAGATGGAGTGCAGCGTGACCAACGAGCAGGTGACCATTTGGGCAGGTCTTATTTTGAGGGGATTTACCCTCTGGTAAACTAACATAACCATGGAAAATCACCATTTTTAATGGGAACACTCACTATAAACGGGCAATCTTTACCATACCTATGTTAGTCACTATGTTAGTCATTACCAGAGGGTAATATGATTTCGCGGGATCTAACGGGATAGGATTATCATCAGGTGAACGGGTTGGGGTTTCTGGTGATTGTGACTGTTACCTTCCGGAAATCATGGCTGGAAAATCCTCCAGTTCGATGATTGTTCCACAAGGTGGTGCCCCCCAAGTGATGTGAACGTTGGTTTATAATCCCATTATATATCTATAGATATATCTACCATAAACCATAGTTATTAGAGTTATAAACCAACTGAACGCTATCTTGAGGGCACCACCTTGTAGAAAGCTCCATGGCTAGTTCCGGGATGACCCAGCGATCGCCATGTTTGATGACACCGAAGGGTAACCATTCAGATCCAAGCTCCATCAATGATGGGGTCGCTCATATTTTCATGGTTTTACCACCCAGAAAAAAAAGGGTGATTTTGCGGATGGCTTATTTATTTATGTATTTATTTCAATGTGGCCCCCCCCCCAGTTATAAGTTGGTTTATAAACTTCATTAACTATAGTTATATCTACCATAAACCATAGTTATTGAAATTATTATAAACCAACTTAGCTATCTTCGGGGCCCCACATTGTTATTGATTTATTTATTTATGTATGTTTGTTTTTATTTTTATGTATTATTTTATTTATCTATGTTTATATATATATTATATATATTATATTATATACATTTTTGCTTTACTAAAAGTAGTGCACCATAGTAAATGGCCATGTCCGAGGGACACCCAGCGAGTATGTCTACAAGGTGAGGTCCCTGCTTATGAGAGCGAGATGCTGACTTCTAACAGATCACAACTTGGTTAATTGTTGGGTTGATTAGGGGAATATAACTTAGTATTTGTGGGTTTATAAACTAACTTTTGTAACTTGAAGGGCCCAATTCCTAGCATCGGCGGTCCCATTTTGGAGGATCCAATTGCAACTGTAACGATTCGACTCAGAGTCATAGGAAACACAACTATTTCAAGAAGCCCTTGAGGCCAGCATTTGTGTAGCGCTGCATCGTATCAGTGTCTGGGTCGTTTCGGACGCATCCACTGACCCTAGAGGCCCTAGATGTCTGAACTGGTCCCAAGGGTCCCCAGGGGTTTCTTGGTGATCCATATCCTGCTCCCATCACTCCCATCCCTGCTTCGCGTCCGAACTTGTAGACCCTGGACATCACCTACGAGGTTCCGAATGTGCAGAAACACACGGGCCGCAGTTCCCTTCGGGTGAGCCACCAGAAAGTCTTGGAGAACGAGGAGAAACGATGCTTTTTCGTGGATTTTGGTGAGGATTGGAACCGGATCCCCTGCAAATATCTGCAAATGGAGGTTTCAATGAGATAATCATCTATAAATCGGTGATTTATTTGTTAGGACTGGAACCATACAACAATCAGTATGTTAATGAACAGAAGCGGTGTACCGAACTGAGCCCTCTATTTTCCCCCACAAGGACAATATTGATTGGAAGCACTGAACGTGGGGATTTGAGATCAACATGGGCGTCCTGGTTCAAGCCTTGGTGAAGTGAGTGTCATATCCTGCTAAGAAGTGACTTATATATATGCCATCCAAAATTGTTTTGTCTCAGAATAGGGTACCCCCAAACCCTGTTTATCATCATGTTCTCTATATAATGTATATTGCCCACTATCCCTACAGCTCCAAAGACCTTCTGAGACTGTATTTGGAGTTGTTTTTTGGGCCCTACTCACCTCAGAGGGTATTTGGAGCAGGGTATATAGCTATTTAAAGATCATGATCCCTGTTATACATATTATATATATAATTATATACATATATATATATATATTATTATAGAAGTTATATAGCTATTCAAAGATCATGATCGTAAAAAAAAATCAGACACACCAAGGATGGAAGGTAAAAGGGCCAGCCGTGCTGAAGAATCGGCGCCTTGGCTGAGCTGGCAAACGGGAAAACCATGGATAAATGCGGATTTAACAAACCGTTAAATGGGGATATATAGACAATATTATATAGATAGATAGGTACATATTTGGAATATAAAGGGAAGGTTAGCATTTGGCAATCAAACGTGAGTCACCATGATTGGGTATTTAAAAACACATATTATTGACAGATATTTTAATGGTATGTTTTTTACTGAAAACTGTAGAATGAGCCCGACCTCAGTTATGGCCCTTCACAGTTATAAATGGGACTATAATTCCTATAAGTAGTTGGTTATATCATAAAATAAGCCAGTGAAATAGCCAATTAGTCAGTTAAATAACCCCACATAACTGTTAAATAAATGTTATGTCCATTATATCAACAGTTTTACATGGTTTATTATAATTCCAAATATTCCTATAACTAGTTGAGTTATATATATATATATTTATCATAAACCAGTTCGAAAATTCCCATGATATGCCCATGGACATTCACCAGTCCTAACTCCAAGCCCCTGCAAGTCGGTGCCCCCCAAGGTATAAGTTGGTTTATAATCCCATGAACTAGTTCGATACATCTACCATAAGTCCAAACGTGAAGTTAGAGTTATTTGCACCAACTTAGCTATCATAAATCAGCTATAAATCCCATGAAAAGCCCCATTTTCCCATGGTTTTCCCATGGTTTTCCTATGGTTTTCCTATGGTTTTCCGAGGTTCGAAGTCCTGGATCTCTTCTCCGGCCGCTCGGTTCCGACGAAGGGGCCCAGCATCGACCTGCGCGTGGCCTTGAGCGCGGAGGTCGCGGTGAAAGACATGCCGAGGCACCGGTTTTTACAAGTTTTTAGCCCCATAATATGGCTATATGGACATATGGATATATGGATACATACATATAATATATATATATATACGTGTGTATGGATATTACAGTAGACAAAACATCTAGAGTTTAAACCAACGGTTTTTTTCAAGGTACCGTTTGGGCACTGTTGGGTTTTGATATGTTTTGACCCAAAATCATTTGAATGAGTTTAACAAATACGGAGATGATCCTGGTATTCTATCCACAATCCTAGTATTCTACCCCGATCTATGGAAGAAAACAGAATCAACATCCTGGTATTGTTACCCTAAACTCCAAAATCACGATTCCTACACCCATTTTGAGGATTCCTCTTAGGGGATGGATGAACACCATTCGGAGGTCTCCTAGAATGGGGGTACCATTTCATTTTGGTTTGTTCCTGGCTATGGGTCAAAACCCGTGTGCCCTAGAAGTACCCATAGTTATAGCTGGCTGATGGATGTTTATTCCTCCCCAAAATGACAATCATATAGGTGTTGACCCATCCCCAAGTGGGACAAAATTGGGAAAATGTGCGACAATTTTAAGTGACATGTTGAACAAAATGGGATATTGTGAGAAAATTTGAATGGTTTGTGAAATATCGTGGAAGTTTTGGGTAGAGGACACATTTGAAACTCTCATATGGAAGATTCGGGAGGGTTAAGAGGAAGAATCATTCAAACACCATGGAACATTTTGAGGTTAAAAGGAAGATGGGTCCTGTCACCTGTAGTTTTCTTCTAAGTCAATCCATTCCAAGTTGGAAGATCACTTGGAAATGGTTCAAATCCTGCGTTTTTTCATGATGGATTGTTGTCTCATACCTTTTTTATTGAACTGTCAACCATGAAATGGCGAATTTACAATTTTGAAATCAAAAATATGATGGTGGGTGGTTTGGAACATTTTTATTTTCCATATATTGGGAATAATCATTCCAACTGACTTTCATATTTTTCAGAGGGGTAGGTATACCACCAACCAGTACATGTATATATAACACTAAGATTTAATCAGCTGACAGGCAAATGTCATTTTCTGAACACAAAAATTGTAATGGAAGGGAGTTCGGTGAGTTTTCTGGTTTTATGCATGTATGGTGATCCGCGGCTTGATTGCTGCCGGGTGCATGGATTTTTTTTTGTGTGTCAACTGCTCTTCGAAGTTGGTCGGTTCAATCCTTGTTTTTCGCTGGGGATGTTAGATCTCCGTGTCTTACTTTAAATCATTCAAATGGTTTGGGGTCACCCTGGTAGCTTACATGATGTTACCATCAAATCGCTGGTGAATGGATGTAGAAATTCCCCCAGTCATATGGTCATGACCTACCCCCCAATCCCCTTGTTGTCCGCACATGTTGTTGTGCGAGAGTTTGCCAGGTCGAATACCCACAAGCTGCTGCTGAAGCGGGAGAAGCACCGACGATCCTACGACTTCAGAGCCTGGCGTATCGATTTCACGGTGGTGCAATCGATGCATGGCGATCAGCTGGAGAAACACCTCTCCTATGAGGCTGGGCATATTGGGTGTCGGCTGTGAACATGAGCAAAGCTCAAAATTGACGGCTTCATATGATGTTTTCTTGGTTTCATAAGGTGAAGACACGAAAAAAAGGTATGATGAAAGCCATAAAGCTCAGCAAATTTGGCATATTGATATTGATGTGTCAACTATTAACCTATTTTTTAAGCACCACCAGAGCCAACAAATCTGGATGAACGGGATGCAACCATCTTGTGGGATCTGGAAATTTCTGGGGGTGTATATGGAGTATGCCCACACCAAACAGCAGTTTTACTACTTAGATGGGCCATGGGAAAAATGCGATTCCTGGTTAGTAACTGTTTTTGTTTTATTATTCCAAAAAAAAACAATGAATTAATCCATTTACTAACTAGTTACCCTCTGGTAAACAAACATAACTATGGAAAGTCCACCAATTTTTAATGGGTAGATCCACTATTTCTATGGGCATTGTCAATAGCTTTTTGTATGTTTACCAGAGGGTAACTAACTCCATGGCCCATCTAAGTAGGGGAACTGATACACCCACAAGACTGTCTTATGTCATTCCATGTCTCTATGACTTGTATGGGATTGCCGACCTGTTGCCGACCTGTAAACATGGTAGTTTCCTAACATAGGGCTACCCCCAAATCATCCATTTATAGATTGGATGTTCCATGATAAACCATCCAGCTCTTGGGGTAGCCCCATTTTAGGAAACCTTCATATCACCTGCAATGTGGGGCCCCCTAGTTATAAGGTGGTTTATAAACCCCATTAACTATAGTTATAAGTACTATAAACCGTAGTTATTGGAGTTATAAACTAACTTAGCTATCTTGGGGGCACCACATTGTGTAGCCAAGTGGATATTCGCATCTCACTGGGGATCTCCAACGCCCAGGTGGAGTTGGAGCTGAATGCTCAGATCCTGCGAAAGAACCTCGAGGCCAAAATGTCGAACAAACCACACCAGCTGCCGCTCAGCAGAAGGGAAGTCTAGTAATCATTACCATCTGGCAATTTGTTACAATTGTTACATAGCTATTGAAAATGGCTCATTAACAGTTGGTTTGCCTATTCCAAATAGTGATTTTCTATAGCTATGTTAGTTTACCAGAGGGTACAAAGTGGACCCCCAGTTTTTTTTGGCTACATTTGTACCTCATAACTTTAGCTTTGATGCCGGCTATATCCATAAATGGGTTTATACTAACTGAACATGTCGGGAAGAACGCCCGTGTTTTCTGGGAAAAACGGTCATCCATCCAGCCCCTCCATGGGCCCCCCCATCTTGGTGGGCTTCAGATGAATTGCTGAGATCCTTTTGAAAAACATGTTGTGGGGTGTCTATCTCGATACACCTTGACCACCTTGATATTGATCACATAGATACAATATGATAGAATATGATATATACATATATCTATACAATATGATATAATGAGATATAGTGCTATCATCCCGCCATTCAAAAAAAACCTGACCCCGCTTGGATGGGCCATGGAGTTCCTTCACTACGAGTTACTAACTTGACTGATCCTTCCCATTGGCATAGCTAACAAACTCCAACATAAATCCCATGAAATGCCATGAACTTAGCTCCAAAAATCCCATCATCCTGAAATTCTCATGTTTGCCCCCAGGTGGGAGTTGCTGACGGATTTCCTCAACGCCGGCCGCGACCTGGCCGTCTTGGCCTCTGAGCCGTGCCCGCTGCCTGTGCCGCCGAGCCTGCCTCAGCTGCCGCCCGACGAGGGGCGCCCGGCGTATCAGCGCGAGCTGCCGGGGATGCCGGCGACCTGGCTGTGGGGGTCGGTGGCCGGAACTCCTCCAAGGATGGAGGGCATAGATATGGAGGTTTCCGAAGTCGGGGATTCCCCAGTAAGCTGCAGCTGTAGATAGTGTAATTATATGGTGGTATCCCCAGTGATCATCAATTTTTTTGGGGGGGAACGATTTTCCATGAAATAATTTCTGAAATAAACCATCAGGCTTTTGGGATAAGCCTATTTTTTGGAAACCTCCACATGCCCGGCTAACAGATTATAACTCCTGTAACTTATACAATGTGGGCCCCCCCAGTGATGTTAGTTGGTTTATAAACCCCATGAATACTATAGTTATTTGCGTACCAAAAACCATAGTGACATTGGAGTTATAAACGCACCAACTGAACGCGACCTCGACCGGGGGCCCCACATTGTAAGAATGGGGATCTGTGGGGCCATAACTGTACAACTCGGATTTGAGTAACCGGCAATGTGAATCAATTTGATGTGATTGAACCATTTTTTGGGGGGATACATAGATAGTAAACTAGTAGTAATTAGTATGGGGATACCCCTTGTATAGATCCAATTACAATTTTAGATTAATAAAAGTTAATAGTGGTTGATAGTGGTTCATAATCATATAGCCATTGATTGTATTACCCTCCGGTGTCTTCAAAATGGCAAGCTGGGGAAACCTATAGAGATGAATTGTCCGCTGAAGGTGGGTCAGAAGTTGGGACGAAGCACCTATGGGGATGGAAAACTGGAATGGGAGATTTGGGCAGGAGAAAAAGGTGACTGAGCATGACTGAGCTAGAAAAGTGGAGATTGAACCATGAAAACTCATGAAAACTCGAGGCTGAACGCAATTTAATCATAATCAACTGAGAGCGGGGTTTACACATTGGGATTGAGCCATCGAGAAATGGGATTTTCACTGAATTTTCACTGTTCACTTCTCAAGACCTTTGAAGAAACAATGATGGCTGGGGAGTATGGGGAGTGGGCTGCTGCATTTAAGTTGAATTTGCATCCAGAGGTCCAGAAGTAGCAACAGAAAACCAATGCAAAATGGCCAGTGAAGCGATCCTAATGATTGGGAGATATCACCAACCAGGGCTCGAGATGATTGCGAGCAAACCTATCCAAAATTGGCAACAAAGTTGTGAAAGATAATTTCTCCTTGTTGTTCCATGAGAGTTGGTGAATGGTTTCCATTTTTTTGTCATTCGTTCTGACTAGAGAGATTCCCGGCTGTTTCCTTGCCTGCACCAAAGGAACCCTTGATTGGCCACTACTTGTACCGTCTGGCGGAGGGTGGCTGGAAACATGGCAAGCGAAAGGCGGAGCATGCGGAGCAGGCAGCCGACGCGGCAGCCGACGCGGCAGCCGAACCGGCGGAGAAAAGGTAGCTATCCAGTGGTGAACGGAGGGAGCGGTCAGCTTAGAGTTTCCCAAGCACCATGATACTCGGGGAGTTGGAAGAATGTGGGTTTGATTGACCTAATTAGAGCAACTAAACAGGAGGATTGATTTCATCAACAGAATGAGATGGGGCTGTCGCAAAATGAGGCAACGGCTCCAAATTGAATGGGGAAAACTATGCCTAAGCATGTGATTTTGGGGTTGCGGCCGGCATATTTTCTGACTATAGCGACCTCATCACTGACATGCGGATATAAATGTGCTTTAAAAGATCTCGGGCATACCATTTCTATAGCAGTCTCAAAGTGACTAATTCAAAGCGTTCTTGTGTTCTTATCTGTTTACTAACCATAAATCCATCCACCATTGGATCATGCCTGGAAGGTAACTGTGTTTGAAGAAATTCCACTATTGTGGTTGGACTTTGCTTTTCTATCTTTTTTTTGAGATATTAGTTTATGTATATACCCAGAATATCTTGATCAATTGTGGATTATAAATGATCAACCTGACTTTCAGGATTATATGATGTCATATGAGTATGGCTCAACACATATTATTCTGGTTGGTTGTTTCAAACATTTTTGATTTTCCATAATATATGCGATAATCCTTCCCATTGACTAATATGTTTCAAGATGGTTAAAACCACCAACCAGCTTTTATACCATATTTTGAAGAAATGAGCATATCTAAATCCCAGCGATATTGGTACCAGGCTTTTGAACCATAGCGGCAAGGTGCCGGTTAGCTAAAATAATTCATAAGTAGGTTAAATCGGATTGATGGTAGATAGATGTTAATAATATATGTGAAAATACCCAGGATCATACCACTAGCACTGGACATGAGGACATTCCATCATAACTGTGATTGCCACTTGATTCCAACATATCCACTACATCTGATCCGCAGGGCGCCCTTTCGAGGCACAAAAGAGGTGCTATCAGCCAGCACGCCGTTGCTAGGTTTTTGATGGTAGGCGGAGCCCTTCCGTGAGGGGTCTTTGCCTAGCGCTTTGCCTGCGCTTCCTCCGCGCCTGTTTCCTTCGCTGGTTGCCGACGGCGACAACTGGCCTTTGCAGCACCCGCTCTTTGGGGCCGGTGCTTGGACAAGCACTACTTGATCTGGGACTTCACCAAAAGGTGTCTTGGAAATGTCGCGACTGGAAACTGACCGTCATGGTGTTCCCCAGTTTAGCGGCGACCCAGAGATGTTTGAAGAGTATCAGGAAAGAGCATGGGATTTATGGCATGGTAGAGAGGGTCAAGAAAGTCTTCAGCTTGCAACAGCGGTACACCTTAGAGCTGGGTTGAGTGGTGCCGCCTATGAAGCTACTAGGAAGATTGAGCATTCAAAGATGAAAACGAAAGATGGAAAAGGGGTTCCAACTGATGAAGGGTTGCGTCACTTCCTTGCAGTCCTGAAAACAGCCATAGCAGCAGTTGAACCTGTCAAAGTGAATGAACTGTTCCTCACTGCCTTCTACAGTTCCCAAGTCTGGCGCCGACCTGCTGAGAGCATGCAGCAGTACATCGTGCGCAGAGAGCAGGACTTTAGGCGTTTGGAAGAGATGAGCAAAGACACGCATGTGAGCACAAACTTGCGTGCCATGATGTTGCTCATCTTCAGTGGTTTAGATCACAAAGAACAAGTCAGTGTTTTGAGTTCAGTTGGAAATGAATACAACTTTGAAAAGATTTCACATGCCTTGCGGTTGCAGTTTCCACAAGCCTCTGGAAAGCCTGTTGTCAGAAGGGATTACCTTGGCTGTGGACGTCAGCCTCAACCCAATCGTGACTCCGGCATCTTGTTCAAGCCGAAGGCATGGCGTCAGATGAACTCAAAGGGCCGTGGCCGTGGTCACCAATCTTTCACCGCCGATGAGGTCTTGGAGGCTGGCGATGATGATGGCGACTATGAGGGCGACGAGACCTATCACGAGGACATTGACGCTGACGAGCACTATGAGCCTCCGACCTATGATGGTGCTGAGTCCTTTTGGGAGGATGAAACCTTTGACACCCTGGTCCAGGACATGCCTGACCTTGATGAGAATCCAGAGATTGCCGACGCTTTGGCAACAGTCATGCAGTACAAGAAAAAGGGCAAGGGCAAGGGAAAGCAAAAGGGGCCAGCCGGGTCCTCTTCTACGCAGTCTTTTCCTTTCCGTGCCAGTGGTGACATCTCCTTTGACAAGAACAAGGAGGCCAGAAACAACGCAGTGAAGTTTCTCAAATCCGTGACAACATGCACCAGTTGCCATCAACGTGGACACTGGACAGGAGATGATGCCTGTCCCAACAAGAAGAAGAACAAGGGTGCTTCTTCGAACTCTCCCAAGAAGAAGCCACATGAGAAGAAGACCACGTTTTTCGTTTTGCATGACAGTTTGGAATCCGACGATGAGAAGGAGACTTGCCTCGCCTTTGCCATTGGGGACAAGTCCACCGTTTCCAAGAATGATCTAGCTGAACAGAATGCCAAGGTCCTTAAGGCCTTTGCGACTCAGAACACCTTCCACGTTTCTGAGAATGCCGACATGACCCTGAATGCCAACGCGATTGAGAATGCCAGCGTGCCACAGAATGCCTTCCTGACTGAGTATGCCGACCTTGCCCAGTATGACGGCCTGACTCAGTATGCCAACTCTTCTCAGAATGACATGAGCCGTGCGCTGCAGCCCAATTTGAATGAGTCCAATGCCGTGACCGCACAGATGCCTGTTCCTCCAGCAGGCAGCCCGCCTTTTGAGGCTGGATCCAACGTCACAAAGAATGCCAGCGCACATGGAGTTTGTTTCGCTTCCTTTGATTCTTCTGTACTGATGGTGTTGAAGGACACCAAACTTTGCGCCCACTCAAGTTATCTTGGCGGAGATGAACGTGAATACCACCGTGGAGCAAATGGCCACACACGTCATGTGAGCTGCAAGAACAAGGACTGCGATTGCACAGTGATTTCTGGCCGTCGCAAAGATGGCGAGCAGATGTGGCGATACCTTGTTCAGATTGCCCTTTGTACAAAGTGGGGCAGTGCTGCTCGATCCCGTGAGCTTTTTGCCAGCGTTTGCCGTGAAAGAGACAAAGCTTTGCATGACCGTGAACAGCGAGCGGCCTTGCGACCTCCTCCTGGTTATCCTGGTCAAGCAGCCTCTTCTCCAGGTTCCTCACCTTCACCCAAGTCTGTTGACTGGAATTTGGTTGGTGAACAAGCCTCTTCCACTGGCGCTGATGGCAGCTCAAGGACAGCCAAGATTGTCCGTGATCGAGAACCTCGCTTTTGGGCCTATGGTGTGCTGATTAAGCCAACAATTGACCTTCCTGATTTTCCCCTTCTTGCGGATGAGGACCAGGATGTTCTTCAGCCACTGCCATGCGACATGACTTTGTGTGGTCCAGAAACGCCCTTTGAGGGGTACAGCTATGCTCAAGTTGCATCGAGCCCAGAGGCATCTGCATTTTGCCAGCAAATTTTGCAAGCTGCCCTGGAAAATCAGCCTTTGGTTCCCGAGCTCTATCGGCTCTCATTCTACCTTTTCGGCAGGTGCAAGTTGCTTCACTCTGCCGTGACCCGGATGTGGAAGTCAGGTGAAGTTCGTCCTGCAAAGCGGCCTTCAAATCCTGATGAGATGATTGCGCACCGGTGCATCCGGGTGCCACTTTGCTTCAACATCCAACATCCGGAGATCGTTCAGGTTCATGACTTTGAAGTTCTGATGACCAATGATGACAGTCGTCATGGCGATCGTTTGGACTTGGACTCTTTTGCCTCCACTCCACAAGATCCTCCCGGGTTGGCCATCTTGGACTCTGGCTGTACTCGAACCATGCACGGGAAGGATTGGGCGGAAGCTTTTGAGCTTGAGCTCGGCAAACTTGGACTTTCATGCCGAAGACGCCCCAAACACCAGTCTTTTCGTGGAGTTGGTGGCCAGATTGCCAGCGACACTGTCAAGGTATTTCCTGTCGGAATTCATGGAGTCAATGGAGAACTCCACAGCGCTGAAGCATCAGGAGCTCTTCCTCTTCTCCTCTCACGCCCTTTCATGGAAGAGTTGCAGACCGTCATTGATGTTGGGGCCCGAACTGTTTCATTCAAGAAGCTGGGCATTGATGGACTTCCTTTGATTCGAACGGCCAAGGGTCACCTTGCCATCAGCCTTTTGGATTTTGATTTGGCTGCCTTCGAAGACACAGAAAGCCCAGTGAATGCCCCTGAGCAGCTCCACACCGAGGATCACCTGGACTTTGATCCTGCTGCTCTGGTCGATCATGACCAACCTCATGACTTTGGCGGCATGAACCCTGATGATTACTTTGACATGATGGCCGACCTTGACATGTGGCGCCAAGAAGCTGCCAGCATCCAAGCAGCCATCGACAGTGGCGAGATCGTTCTTCCTCAACAAGACGAAGGTCTCATGTGCGAGGATGCCAACTACTTGTTCGACCATCCTGAGCAGTTCATCGTGCGAAAGGCCACCAACAAGAAGAGCAAGAAGTTTGAGTCATGGCAGAACAACTTGGACGGTGAAGACTGGCTTCGCCAACGAGTTCTCACCGGCAAGTACAAGAAAGTGTCCAACAAGCCGCCTTACGGCAAAACTTGGATGAAACAGTTGTTTGCTGGTCAGATGGGCCTATCACTTTTGGCCATCTTCTATGGACTTTCTATCGGCGTCCCCCTGGACGTGACCAGCTCTGATTGGGATGCATCAACATCCAAGGGATACAAACAAGTTTGCCATGATTTGCTCTATGAGGACCCCTTCTTGACCGTGATCACCCAACCCTGCGGTCCATGGGGAAATTGGTCGCGCTTCAACTTGGCGCGTGGTGGCAAGTCGATGCTCACTGTCTTGGAGCTACGTGAAGCAGGACGTCCCATCCTGCGACTGGTCAACAAGGTTGTCAAGGACCGCATCAAAGCCAATCGGCATGTCTTTGTCGAGCAGCCACTTGGCTCACAATGGCTAGAAGAAGAAGAACTCGCTGATGTTGTCCAGCTGTTGCAGAACGGCGATTTGGTTTCCATACGTGTTGATGGATGTCAAGTTGGTTACAAAGATCGAGAAAGCGGGTTAGCCCACTTCAAACCATCCATCTACATCACTTCTCTCCTTGTAGCAGAATCCATTTTCAATGGCTGTCGTTGTGATGGGCAACATGCACATGAACCTCTCGAGGGAAACAACAAGTTTGGCTCACGCACACTTCAAGCTTCTGAATGGCCTGAACAGTTGAATGATCTTGTGATCCAGGCCATGATCCAGCAAGCCTCTGCAGAAAGCAGTGCTGTGTGCGGTGCTCATGAGATGTTTCCTGCCGAAGTACGACCAGCTGAACAACCACTTCAAGGGAGATCTCCCAAACGACGTAGAAGGGCAGGACGGGTTACACAACTTGTTGGACAATATGCAGCTCCACCCGTCTATGTGCGTCCTCAACTGCCTCTACAACCTGAGGTTCAACAGCCTCTTGAAGATCAGCAACTTCTTCCAGACCAACCTCAACTTGATGATGCTTCCGTGCGAGCCATTCAGGCTTCAGCCTTGGACCCAGTGCTCAACATCACTGAGGCTGAACGTCGACGAAGATGGCTCACCATTTCCCCAGAGATCAGAAAGATCCTGCGAGATTTACATGTTCAGTTTGGACACCCCACCAACACAACCTTGCAGAGAATCCTTCGACGTCAAGGAGCTCTACCAGAAGCTATCGATGGAGCAGATCTTTTGAGCTGTGATTCGTGTGGCGACAGCATTCGAAGGAGAAGACCTAAGCCAGTTCGGCTTCCAGGTCGCTACGTTTTCAACCATCACTTGCTCATCGACGTCTTCTACGGCAAGGACGTTGTTGGTGAATCTTTTGCCTTCCTGAACATCATTGATGATGCCACAGGCTATCAGGTTGTTTCATGTCTTGGCCAAGCTCGAGGACCACCTGCATCAAAAGCCGTGCTCAGGCATTTTCTTACTGTCTGGAGCTCATGGGCTGGCCTTCCATATTCTGCACAAGTTGACCGAGGCAAGGAGTATCTTGCCTACTTCAGTGACCACCTCAAGACCTACGGAGTTGAGCAGGAGACAGTTCCTTTGGAAGCTCCATGGCAAAATGGAAAGGTTGAACGCGCAGGTGCTCTATGGAAGGAGATCCTCTACAAGACTGTTCAAGAGATGCAGTTGCAGGGCTTGGATGACATGATTTTGGCCACAACCATCATCACCCAGTGCCGCAACTCCTTTCCGCGGCCAAATGGGCACTCGCCCTCACAATGGGTTCTTGGACTTTCAGAAGTGCGAGTGCCTGGCTCACTTTTGGATGATGGTGAAGCTCAACGGCTTGAGTTGCTTGAAGCGGCTGATGACCCAACATCAGCATTCGCAAGGTCCTTGGGCATTCGTGAAAGTGCCCGAGTCGCTCAGGTCAGACTCGACAATGATGCACGAGTCAGAAGGGCTTTGCTTCACAAGTCCACTCCAACACGTGGACCATACCCTGTGGGCAGCTATGTCTACTTTTATCGACTTCAAGCACCTCCCACTGGACAAGCGCGAGCTCAGGCTCGCAACTTTCGCTGGTTTGGTCCAGCGAGGGTCATTGGAGTTGAGACCCGGAACCAGCGGAGAGCTGAGGATGTGGAATTTGCCACCGAGGGTGGCCAGCCTCATGCTTACTGGTTGCGTTATGGTCCTTCAGTTGTTTTGGTCACAGGTGAACAGTTGCGATTTGCGAGCGAAGATGAGCTTCTTGCTGCTCACTCCCTTCCTGAAGAAGTTCTACAACCATCCTATACCAGAGGTGCCAGAAACTATGTTGATCTTCGTGGACATGCAGCAACTCCACAGGTCTTGGACCAACAACAAGATCCTGCACCACCTGGATTGCAGTTTAGTCCAACAACACCCTTTGCCGCTTCAAGACCGGCGACCATCCGGGAAGACACAGAATTTCCTGGTGATGTTGTGCCTGCGACTCCAGCACCTCAGGAGGAAAGGACGGGAGACGAGATCCAAGAGCCTGAACCAGGCCCGTCTGCTACACCAACACCACAGGTGTCACGCAGACCCAGCAAGAATGTGCCTGCAGCTGCAGCAGCCACTCAACTTTCTCAAGCTCTACAACGGCCTGATCGACTTGATGGTCACCCGACTTCTTCGGGGTCACAACAGACCACGACAACACCATCGCAACTTACACAACAACAAGTACAACAGCAGAACACCATGGTTCCACTTCAACCCGTACCACCACAACAACTACCATTCATTTCTACAACACAACCAACATCATATGGTCCCTCAAGAACCTCAAATGGACATCAAGAATCTCCATATTTCGTGGACGAAGATTTATGGGATTGTCCTGATCTACCTCATACTGTTCGTCTTCGGCAACTCCAGCGAATGATGCCTGAATCTGAGATTGACAGCGAGGCTTCTGAAGAGGAGTCCATGCTCACTCAGGCTCAACCTGCCGATGCTTTCCTCACTGGGAAGGCAGCCTCCTCCGAGATCTCCCTCAAGAATTTGGATGAGAGTGACCGGCAGAAGTTTCAAGATTCCATGAAGCGTGAATGGGATTCATGGATGAAGTTTGGAGCTGTTGAAGTTTTGACAAAGGGCCAGATCAAGGACTTGCCCGACGACACGCAGATCGTGGGAACACGTTGGGTGCACACCGACAAGAACAGCAAGCCCAGACTTTTGGCCAAATACCTCTCGAAGAAGACTGGAAAATCTGATGCGCAGATCAAGAAAGAATTTCCTTTTCAGGCCAAAAGCCGACTTGTTGTCCAAGGGTGCCAAGAAGATCCACAAGCTATCCGCTCAGATAGTCCCACGGCTTCTCTTTTGGCATTCAACTTCATTTGCATGATTGCGACAGTGATGAACTGGATAATTTCAGCATGTGACGCCTCCACTGCATATCTACAGTCACAAGGAATAAGCAGGTTGTTGATTTTGAGACCACCAAGACCTCCACCGCCAGGCATCAGCCCACATGACCTCCTTCGAGCACGTGGTTCCATCTACGGCACGAAGGACGCTGGTCGCTCATGGTGGAAGAAACTCTTCAGAACTTTGAAGCGTTTTGGTTGGAGAATGTCAAGAATCGAGTCAGCAATGTTTCTCCTTGTGATTGACACCAAGCTTGTTGGCGTACTCATTACACATGTGGATGATTTGTTTTGTGCAGGTGAAGGCAAGGTGTATCAGGATAGCATTTCAGCCATGGAAAAGGAGATTTACCTGAAGGTTAGTCACCGAGAGTTTCGTTTTTGTGGAAAGAACGTCAAGCAACATAGCGATGGCACCATTGAGCTGGATCAGTTCGACGCCATTGAAAGCGTGGACTACATGCCCTTGACTAAGGACAGACGGTCCTGTATCAATGCCCCTCTGACCACAGAGGAGATCACAAGTTTCCGCGGCCTGATTGGCCAACTTGGCTGGATCACGAGGCAGACACGACCTGACTTGATGGTCAATGTGTCGGTCGCTGCCCAGAGTGTGAGCAAACCAAGAATCAAGGATGTGGTGAACCTCAACAAGTGCGTTAAGATGCTCAAGGACACAGCCGATTCGACTTGGCGCTTTGTCCCCCATCCTGACATGAAGCTTGATGATTTGGTTGTTTGCGTTTTTGCAGATAGCAGTTTTGCAAACATTGAAGGCATGAAGTCTCAGTGCGGCTATGTTGTCTCTCTGACCTTGCCGAGCATTCGAAGCGGCTCCCCAACTCCTCTCTTCGTTGTTGAAACCTACTCTGGATCAGTGAAGCGAGTTTGTCGCAGTACACTTGCTGCAGAGGCCAATGGTTTTCTCACTGGTGCTGAGGCAGGCGAATACGTCAGAGCCTTACTGCTGGAACTCCAGCATCCTGATGTGAGTTTTAACGATTTGGAGCGTGAGTATGTGAAGAAGAAGATCATTTGCATCACTGACGCAAGGAGTTTGGAAAGCACATTGAACAAAGACGCAGGTCAACCTGGTGACAAAAGGGTTCGCATTCTAGTAGCACAAATACGTGAGATGATTGGTGAAAACAACTATGGCGATGACGACATGGTGTTCGCAGAATGGTGCGACACAAGCCAGCAACTCGCTGATGTGCTCACGAAAACTGGATGCGAAAGAGAACCGTTGCTCAATGCACTCTACAAAGGAGTGTGGCAGCTTGAGCCTAGCGACACAGCACTGGCAAAGAAAGCCAGTATTAGGGCTTCACGTAGAGCCAGGAAACAAGGGGCAATCAAGGACGGGTGTGAAAATACCCAGGATCATACCACTAGCACTGGACATGAGGACATTCCATCATAACTGTGATTGCCACTTGATTCCAACATATCCACTACATCTGATCCGCAGGGCGCCCTTTCGAGGCACAAAAGAGGTGCTATCAGCCAGCACGCCGTTGCTAGGTTTTTGAATATATATATATATATATATGCATGCAATTATATTCATATGTTTATCATTGTTTATCGATAGTCAATGGTATGGTCCACAAAATTATACCATATACATAAAGTATATAAATATAAATATATATATATATCTGGTTGGTAGTTTGGAACATTTTTTTTATCATATATTGGGAAGAATAATCCCAACAACTATTAATAACGTCCGCGCGTTAGCGTCAGTGATCCACCCCCAAGGGGCTCCGTGAAAACTACGACCTCCAGGAGGCGAGCAAAGTCCAACTGCGGGAGTTGGTGAAAAAGCTGATCCCCGAGTCCATCGGCAAGGCGCCGGCGTGCCTGGGAAAGTTTGGGAAGGCTTGGGAGGAGAAACCATAGGAAAACCATAGGAAAACCATAGGAACTGGCTGGTGGTTTGGAACATGAATTTTGTATAATTTTATGACTTTCCCATCATATTGGGAATAGTAACCCCAACTGACGAACTCATATTTTTCAGAGGAGTTGGTATACCACCAACCAGAAATGGTTTCTGAAACTGGGTCAGATTGGACTTAACTAGATCCAATTTAAGATGATAGATGATATAGTTGAAATTTACCCTCTGGTAATTTAACATAGCTATTGAAAGTGGCCATAGAAATAGTGAATTTTCCCATTAAACATGGTGATTTTCCATAGCTTTTTGTAGGTTTACCAGAGGGTAGTTGAATGCATCAGATCTAAAGTTACAAGTTTTTTTCGCTTTTCGTTGGAGTATCAATGGGTCCACGGATTCTATACCAAGAAGTGGGTGTAAAAAAGGCACATGTTCTGGCGCGGGGGCTAGTGGTGCCCCTTTCCCCGGTAAGTTCGTTTATCAGTCCACCATAAATCATAGAAATCATAGAATCCACCTAGTTCTAGACCCACAGCCCCGAAAAAAAAAAAACGATGTTCCCCAGACTGGGGCGGCCTCTCCGGCCTATCCCGGTTTGTCCCAGGAGATGGAGAAGCAGTGCCAGGGCATCTTCCCCCTGAAGGACGCCGTCGATGCCGTCATTTTGTTTGGACATAGGGACTCCCAAGGGTAGCAGAACTGGTTGGTGGTGACTGGAACATGAATGGATTATTTTTTCCCATGATATTGGGAATGGAAAAATCATCCCAACTGACTAATATTTTTCAGAGGGATTCCATAATTTTGCTGATTTGGAAGATTGAAGCTTTGGTGGCCATGAGGATGATACTAGAGTGGTGAAAACATGTATAGGTGATATACATGTGTGCATATATATATATATAGTGATCGATCTAAAGGTCCTTGTAAGGAGTTTTAATTGCGAAAGCCGTGCATATTATGTTGGAAACCCTCGCGAAAGTTTTTTTTCGAGTTCGCGAAAGTAAAATTTTATTTCGCGAAAGTTTCGCGAAAGTTGGGTATTATTATCATTATATGTAAAGGGCTGCCACCCGCTGCCGCCCGGGGTCCAGCAGGAGAAGGGCACCAGAGAATGCGAGTAGCAGTAGCCAAGTTTCCAAAAGTGAGGCCTTGCGAGAGCCAAACACCAAGGCCCCTGGTCTTCGCTTTTCCTTCAGTGCACCCCCTGCTGATGGCCGGGGTCTGTGAATAGGGATATTTTCGCGAAAGTTCCGCGAAAGTTATGCGAAAGAGCGGGTGAAAGTCAAAGTGCATGTTGAAGGGGGTGGGCCAGTAAACTTTGCAAAAAAAACTGTCCTGAGAAGGGATTCCGTGATGCTAGCTGCATGTTTAAAAGGCTACCAAGAAGTGATCCGTGATTCTCTGGCGTAATTTGGCAGGTGGTGAACGAATCTTCATAAGAGGCGTTGTTGGCCAACATGGGCCCCGCGAAAGATAAACATGGAGTTCGCGAAAGTAAAATTTTTATTCGCGAAGAATGGCCGTTCCGGGATAAAGGAATTTTGATCAACAACCATATATATATATACATAAGTAGTCCTGCAACAAAAACCAAGTGACGTGTTTTATAAAAGGAACCGAAGGCCCTAACATATATCAACATATTTGTAGATGAACTTCCGAACCATCCAAGTGATGTAACTTTGTTGCAATGGATCCCACAGCCAAGTTGACGCACATAACTTGGTTTATGGTGTTGTTTTTTCTGTTGGGTTTATGGGGAATAAATCTAGAGTTACTCTCTGGGTATGCAACACAGTTTGCTATGGAAAATGACCCATAAAAATAGATGATGTACCTATTAAAATGGTGATGTTCCATGGCTATACATTAAAGAACCAAAGGGTAATCGCTTTACAAACCAACTTAGAACTGCATGGCCTCACCTTTGATATTCATGTTCTTTTTATGAGCGGCTAAGGCTAAGAATTTCAAGTAGCTTGGATTGAATTGGCCATGTGTATTTGATTTACAAGTAGGTTAACTACCAGTTCTGGGAGATATATCATATGATATCTGTTGATATCTATCTATATATATATAGTAACCCCTAAAAAGACGAAAGGCTTCAAATCATTATTCTAGTCAGATTTTGCCAACTATTTTTCTGGGGGGTTTAGTATATACCTTCCAGCAAACTCACACAGCTTTGTTTCAAACTGGCCATTCATTTAGTTCGATGATTTACCTATCAACAACTGGGGCTAAGCCATGGTGATTTTCGATGGCGAAGCCACTCGTTCGCAGGACTGCTTGATTCGAAAGGCCGGCTCGTTCTTAAACCTTGGATGGATAGCTTAGTACTTTCATTACTTGAATCTGTTGCTATACATAATGGGAATGATGCTAATCAGCCAGAAATTTGTTGTTCTTTGCTAGGTCTCTAAGTTTGACGTTGCAAAATCTGCCATTGCCATGGTTATGTTTGTTAGATTGTAGCACTCAAATGGAAAGAAGCGTCAACTTGGTGAATTTGGATGTTTTTCGGAGTTTGAGATTTGTTTTTTACCTGAGGCTGAATCCTTTTTCTTGTAAAGTAACGTTTGGCCTTTTTTGCGGATTTGCTCTATCATGACTTGACTTTGCTTGTGAAATATGTTTGGATCAAACTTAAATCACGGCCTCACGGCCTCATTCTTTCCAGCATCAAATCAATAGCATTATATAGTTTTGTTGCGCCCAGTTTTCTAAGATGACCTACAGATTGGTTTTTTAGCATCTATCACCATCCCAACACACAACCGGGGGCAGCGTTCGGCAGTGCGTAAAACTGTGAAAGGTGAAGATCCTGAAGAAACCAAAGTTCGACATCACCAAACTCATGGAGCTTCACGGTGAGGGAGGCACCTGGGAGGGATGAGATCTCGATCGCTCGTGACCCAAACAAACACCTTGTTCGATCGCGGCAGGAGCATGGTGATTTTGTTGGGGTATGAGCATGGTGATATCCTTCATAAGTTGGGATATACCCCCCTAGACAACTATGATTATATATATATATATATCTAACTATCTATCTATCTATCTACTCATAACTGAAACAGAACCCCACTGCTACAGTCAGAACATGTTTTCTCCAAATCGTTCATTCTCACACTTGCAATAGTGAGACAATCCACTTCGAACCTCAAATTACGCAACAATAACAGAAAAGGAGTGAGCACCCCCAGAGTTCCAAAGAATTAACTCCTGATTTCATTGGTGTGGTTTGCCCCTTCGAGCTGAATTCCTTCATCATTGATTTCTTCCTCAGGAGTTAAATCTGGAGTTATATCATATATAATTAGTGTAACCGTTGCAACTGCCGCAGCCATGGTTGTCATGTCGTTCTTGGAATTATCTCTGGATTTAATTCCGTTCTTGTAATCTTTCAGGATTTGGGGTATGTTTATTTGGGACATTAAATGCAGAGTTAATTCTTGCATTTCTTGGCTCAATGAAGTGGTGGATTGTCACAGTTGGATGGAACACGGAGGACACTCTGAGCACTCAAAAAAATCTTCAGCGATTCTGGAGATGATGCAAAACCTAAAGCCCAAGGGTCACGGAAGAGGACCAAGTAAGGCGTTCACGCGCGAGAAGTGCTTTGGTTGCAGGTTTCACTCAGCACGGAAACAGAGACCAAGCAGACCTTGAAGAAACGACTGAAACCAACATTTACTTCCTGGAGGCTGTTTCACCAATATTGAGAACACTACAGGAGAGAATTAAAGCACGATTTAATTCCGTTTCTTTACGGCATTCTTGAACACAGAAGCATGCTTTCTATCCCGTGAGCAGCCGTTTCTGATTAGCTGGGTAGCCAAAAGCTGCTCGCAGGAGAAACAATAGATCCTTGTTGGGACTCATCTTTCATAATCTGGAGAAGGGCTAGCTTCAGTCTTCCCTGTTGAGAGGAACCACCTCTTGCACCAGGCATCCCCAGAATTGATCCAAGTGTGAACCATGTCGAAGGTTTGAAGATTCTGCCGGTGCAGCACACACAATAGAATCATATTGAAACATTGAGGGAAATAATATGAAATAATGAAAACTGGGTTTCATTCTTTTCAATTACGGACTCCAAGACACACTAACGGCATCCATTCTATCGGGTAGGCAACCCTTGGGGGAGTTATGGGGAGCTAGGGGGTGGTGAACCTTGGTGTGCAAGAGAAACACGTTGTGACTAGACAGATCTGGGCAAAGAATCTCAGAAAGTGAAATGATTTGGGCACACGTTGTTAAAGGAAGTAAATAGGGATAACGACATGAGTCACATGAGTGCAAAGGAATTAAATCCTCATTTAAGACTTTGCAACTCTTCTTTCTACTTAGTCTCGTCCCCAAAAAAACAGAGCATCAAGATGTAGCAAAGAGAAAACCATCCCAATCACTCACTCACCCTCTCACTCGCTCACCAAAGAGAAAACCATCCCAATCACTCACTCACCCTCTCACTCGCTCACTCACTCGCCTTGTTCTTCCATGTTGTTGTCATATCCATTAAATCCCATCAATATCCTATGACATATCATGACATTCTACCCACTTTCCATAATTCCCATACATGCCCACTAATTTCCCATAAATTCTCATTCAAACACCATGAAATCAGATGTTTTGCTGATTGAAATATCCATTCAACAAAAAGCACATTGTTCTACATCATTTACTATCAATGTTATTACCCATAGGATCCATGTATGCTATATATGGTAACATTTACCATCAATATACCCCCAATGTTAGCATATATACCAGCACCATGGATCCTCTGGGTTATATGTTATTCACCATTGAGCCACCCATTTGACCATTCACTACTAGGTACATTAACGGTTAAGTCGTCTTGACTTCTGCAGAAATCTGGATGGATGTGGCGTGCAACGCAGCTGCGAAGTTTGAAGTGGATGTTTCTCAGCTTGGTTGACTACATAACCATAGGAAATAATGGTTAATAGTGGTTAATAATGGTTAATAACATAGTTAAAACCAATGGATATTTCAATCATCAAAACATAGTTAAACATTATTAACCAATGATTATGAAGCTTATAGTTTTTGTTGGCGTGCAGGTGGTGTTTTGATCTTCAGGAATGTTTGAAAAAAAACTCATGTAATCGCGGCGTGCCCACCGGGATTTTTGCATACAGAAACATGGTTCCAAACCGGACCAAACCATAGAAATGACACATGTGCTTGCAGTGTGTTTGTATGGGTTATCATTAAATCACCACAGTTAGGGTTTAAAAGAACTCGGTTAGTAAGTCCCTAAGTGGCTCATCCCATGTGTAAGTGGCTTACAACTTAGGCTTATTAACCAGTTACTAACTGGGATGATCATGGAAAACACCATGAAATCAGCATCAAGCCACCATGTTTGCTGGTTAAATCACCATTAAGCCACCATTGAATATTCATTGAATCACCATGAAATCTCCAGCCATTTGACCTAACTTAAGTCTTTAGTCCTAGTGAAGTATACCATATATCTACATTATTTACCATCATTTAGCATTAAATCAGTTACCTTCTGGTTATTTAACATAGCCATGGAAAACCACCATTTATAATAGGTAAATCCACTATAAATGGGCCATCTATACCATGGCTATGTAACAAATAACCAGAGGGTACATCCAATCACTTTTCATGATCATCATGGAAATGTCACCATTCAATCAGCATCAAATCTTTAGCCAATTTGATGTTGATAGATCCTCCACGTTTTACCGATGTTTATAGATACTTACCCATCCTGGTTCGTGGTTTGGAACATGGCTTTTATTTTCCCATATATTGGGAATAATCATCCCAACTGACTTTCATGTTTTTCAGAGGGGTTGAAACCACCAACCAGATTATCATTTGCCATCATTTCACCCATTTCATGGTTACTCACTGGGATGATCTATATGAAAAAACACCATGAAACCACACTGTTTGTTGATTAAGTCTGCATTAGGCCACCATTAAATATTCATTGAATCACCATTCAGCCACCCATATCACCTAACTGAAGTATACTTAAGTCTTAGTGAAGTATAACTTAACAACATTAAATCACCATTCAATCACCATTCAGCCACGATTCAGCCATGTTTTTCGTCATCACTGGGAAACCATTCAGTTACCATTCATTTACCATTACTATCATAATTTACCATCATTTGACCATTCCCTAGTGCTCCAGTTATATCCTCTGAGGAGGTGTTTACACCCGAAAAGACCACTTCAAATACAGTCTCAGCGTCGGTGTTTGGAGCTGTAATGGTAATGTTAGGGATTATAGTGCCAATGTGAGGGATTACTATTTACCATTACTATTCAATTACCATTTCATGTACCATTATGGGATTTACCATTTGACTTTCATTATATATGGCATGGGACAATCCTTCCCATTGACTTTCATATGCTTCAAGATGGTTAATATAGAAATAATATTCATAAATCATTTTGACTGATCATTGTTCCTTAACCAGATGGTTTTCTCCCAACCAGATCATTCATTAACTAGTTCGATATATCTACCATAAGTCCAAACGTGAAATTAGAGTTATAAACCATATATTATAGCTATCCCAATATAAACGGGTTTAATCGTTTATATTATTTTGATGTTTATATTAACCATTTAATAAACCATATATGGGTGGATTAATGGCCAAATGATGTTTATATTATGTTTACCATCATTTGAAGGCTATAATAATTAATGATGGATAGTTAACTATAGTAGATATGGATGATATACTATATATCATATTTTAACTAGTTCGATATATCTACCATAACTTTGGAACATGGTGATAAATCCCATGAAATCCACCATTTTCCCATGGTTTTCCTATGGTTTGACCATATTTGACCACCAATAATTAATTAATGATGGATAGTTAACTATAGTAGATGTGGATGATATATATCTACCATATTTTAACTAGAACATCCACCATTTTCCCATGGTTTTCCTATGGTTTGGCCATATTTGACCACCCATTTCATGGTCGAATCCCCCGCTTCGAAGGCGACGACACGGGCGTGGAGATGATGCGCCCCGAGGCCGATGAGGCCATGAACACCCTCACTGCCGACGTCGCGGCCGCAGGCCGAGCGAAAACCCGGGGAAACATGGTGGGTTTATGGGGATGTCACCCGGAAAACATGGGAAAAATGGTGGTTTTATGGGGATTTCACCTGGAAAACTTGGGGAAACATGGTGGTTTTATGGGATTTGAAGCAAGAACAATGGTGAAACATCGTGATTTGATGCAAATTTGATGATGATTATGATGATTTGAAATGTGGAAAGAGTATGAAAGAGTGAAATCCACTTGAAACTCACAGGTATTTTGTTGGAATTGATGGTGCACTTAAGTGACATGATCTTGAATGATTGATCGGATTTCGGATTTACATTCATTGATTTGAATGATGAAGTGTTAAAGGATGGGATAGATAGGGAGTGCTGAATTATCTGTTAAATGAGTGTGATCGTATTAATATTGCAATATACATATCTGGTTGGTGGTTTGGAACATTTTTTCCATATATTGGGAATAATCATCCCAACTGACTAATTTTTTTCAGAGGGGTTGAAACCACCAAGCAGATATATATATATATATTTATAGATTGCAGGACATTGCCTCAATACAAAAATGTCTATCTGTCCGTGTTTAATTGCATACTTGGTTAAGGAGATGTTTCAAGATATATGAGGGTATCTATATCATGTCCTGATTGTATCGCTACTTTTGAGATGTGTCAGAATCCTAATGCTGTCTAATTAAGGGTATGTGGTTTTTTATGCACTGAACATTTTAGGATTTACCAGGTCTGACTGATAAATTACACATGTATTTGGGTGTTGAGTTTGATTGCCATGGAGATGTTCATCAACAATGAGGGAGATTTTAACCACTACAATAATTATATTGTGTGTTTTAAGCTAGCAAAGACATGAAATTTAAGATTGAACCAGAAAATATAGGATTTCAAGCAACAAAAAACACACAAAACAAGAGATCTCGAATCTTGAGGGACGAGTTTCTGACGGCCCTTGCTCAGCTGTCGGAGGATTGCTGGATAGTGTTGAGTGCTGAAAAAACCTCCCAAGATCGCCGAGCAAGATCTGGAGGCTTGCTATAGAATAGTGTTTTACTGAGGTTGATGGTCATGGCTGTTGGCTAGACGATTGACACCTGCAATGCCCCAAAGGCATGAAGTCTTCTGGTCAACGAACAACGAACGATCTTGCTGCTGCTCCATAGATGGTGACGGAGAAGAAACTTGCCAAGCGGATGAAACATGAATCCCATGAGACATTTCGCCATCCTGGAACGTTGCTGGCAAAAAGGTCCACTTTACAATGGTTCATGAAGATCTACCAAAAAAAACACGTGACCTTGAGCAGCAAAGCATGATGAATGTGACAAACATGGTACAGTGTATGGTACAGGTACCAATGTTGACACATGTCATGTCAAAGAAGACATACGATCTACATCACTCTACAATATTTGCAATGTGTCTGATCCCTAAACACATCGGTCTATGACCTGTTATCAAATATGTTATGATATTTCCTTGTCTACTTTAGTGGACCTGTTTTGGTTGCAAGAGGCATGAAGTTATAACCCTCTAGTAATCTTCTTGTAGCCAAAAGGGTCCATCGAAGTATCTTTATTGGGACAACTATGGACCAGAGATGTCCTTTTCCCACTGCTTGGCCGATGAATCTTGCGGGTCACCATGGGATCTTGGTGAGCTAGTTCACCCCAGTGAATTTGGCGTGATAGTCCTAGGGTTTCGTCCAGATTCATTGGGGGTGACTGACCCTCTAAGTCAACTCCGAGTGCTGAGTGGGTTTGTAAACTCCGTTCATATCAATATTTATCAATATTCATCAACATTCCTCATTTAGAAAATATCAATCAATATCAATCAATATTAGTCCTATAGAATTACTGGTTGGTGGTTTGGAACATTGTTTGTTTTTATATTGGGAATAATCATCCCAACTGACTTTCATATTTTTCAGATGGGTAGGTCAACCACCAACCAGATTATCATTTGCCATCATTTCACCCATTTCATGGTTACTCACTGGGATGATCTATCCCATCCATTCCCTACTAAGCACCAGTAAGTTTACCATTACTATCAAATGAATGGTTCATTTGACCATTAATCCACCCATTTCATGATAGGGTCCACCCATTACTAACCATTACTATGGCTGATTAACCATTACTAACCATTACTATGGCTAGGGCTCAACCACCAAGCAGATTATCATGGTGTTCATCATTATTAGCCATTGTTAATCCAGTATAATCCACTATAATCCACTATATAACCATTATAATTCACTATGATTTATCTCTACAATAAATCGATAAACATCGACTACTCCGCAGGCGACGACGAGTGAAGCCGTGAAGCCGTGAGGTGAAGCCAGTGAAGCCGTTGTGGCCGTGGCAACGACTTAAGACAGAAACCATGGGGAAAACCATAAGAAAACATAGGTAAATGTGCATTTAACCCAGAAAAAATAGGTGGTTAACCTGGTTAACTGGGATTTGTAGATATTTTATAGCTGATTTATGATAGCCACGTTGACTTATGACGACTTGGTTCACGTTTAGGTTTATGGGTGATATATATGATTGGTTTATGGACCAACTTGTAACTGGGGTGTACTTTCCAAATGCTGAATATGTTGTTTTGGAAAAACCGACAGATCCTGTTCAATATTGCTTCAATATCATGCATATTCCAAATGATTTAAGACTTCCAAAAAGCGCTTCCATCGACAGAGCGCGACTTGCATCCCACTGGACCGCTGGACCGCAGGTACCAAGGAAAAGAAGCACCGCACCGGACAGAGTTGACGCCAAGTGGCAACGGGATGTGAACGAAAAAAACGCGGATGGTTGGGGCCTGCGGGATTGTATAGAGGTGATCGACGTGATATGGCTCCATGGCTTTGTTGAGGATAAATTTACGTGGGAAAAAAACAAAACTGATTCAGAAGATCGTTTTCCCTTGTTTTTAAAGATAGCAATGTTGAGGGGATAACCCATTTTCAGACACAGCCAGCTGAGGGTTGAACTAGTACTGTTGGCATTCTTCGAGGCTCCGCGCTCGACTGGCAAAGAATTTTGCAACGAAGAGGTACAGCCAATATTAAGCGATGAGTGTCGGCTATATCACCATGATAGATTGACAATTGTTATGCATCATTGTTATCCATTAGTTACCAATTGATTAGGGTTTCCCTGCAGATTTCCCTCAAACCAATGCTATATAATGCTATGTCTATGTACTTATGACTTTTGAAGAGATTTGCACATGTCCATTGTCAATTTGTCCCCGTCACGAGGATTTGGTAAATCGGAGTTTGGTGTCCCATGCTGTGTTTGGCTTAGCCAAGCCTAGCCAAGCCGAACACCGAATGCTGATTGTTGTCCTCATTCCCATAGGATCCATGTATGGTATATATGCTAACATTTGGGGTATATTGATGGTAAATGTTACCATATATAGCAGCACCATGGATCCTATGGGATTCTGTGGGACAAGTCACAAGTCACGTGGAAAACATGTCCATTTCGCCACGACGCGTGGGATTTTCCAGTGCCACGGCCCAGGCCTGAAGGGCTTCGTCTCTTCTCAGCGCCCTCCAAGGAGACGGGGGCCTCAGCGGACGGGTGGTGCCCCGGTCGAGCTCGCGTTCAGTTGGTGCGCTTATAACATCTTATAACTCCGATTTCACTATGGTTGAAAAAGGTGATATATCGAACTAGTTCATGGGCTTATAACTAATTCATAGCTGGGGTGGCACCACCTTGTACCACCTCTAAATTTATGGTGATGACTGGGGGATGGTAAACATGACATTGTTTTACCCACATGGGAGATTTATATAGAAATCCTTGGGGGCTGCGAATTCCCGGGAGTTTCTGGTGGTTTGATAGAGATATCCGGAGTTTTTTTCTCGAACCATTCTCAGGGCCTGGTAAGTTTTCTTTTAGTGGGTTTTCTTGGGGGCAAAACTGAGGAGCTTCTATTCGAATTCTTGGGAAGTTTTGCGGAAATCCGGAACAAGTCCTCGCCTGTCCGAAGATTACGGTGCAGTCGTTCGGCAGTTTCCCTGTTTTGTTTTGTCAGCCCAGTTGGATAGGCCAATGCTTGATGTATAATCCCCCTCAGACACTCACTCTTGTTGTTTTGCATGATGCCCCAAGGATTTGTTGTCACATCCGTTTCTTCCCACAAATCTCTGAAATATCCATTTATATCCAATAATAACAGCAAACAAGACATCCCACAATATGGGATGCCATGAAACTGGTCAGAAATTGCTGGCTAAATCCATGTAAATGCAATCATTCAGTCACTATCCAGTAGCTGAGGATGATGGTGCAAACGAAAGCTGATGACATTAGTGAAGCTGAACACAGCAAGATGGTTTGGTCTCCGGTGGTGGGTGTCTCAATGACCGGCTTTGTGCACGGGGGCTCGTTCCTTCAGGAGCAGTGCCACACCTGGAAGCGCATCCATGCACTATCAATCGGAAAGCAATTGGTGGTCATTGACCTTCTGGGCCATCAGCGAGACTGAGACTGGTGGCGCTGGTGCCATTGCTGGTGCCACTGGCGCAGCGCCATCTCCATGATGCTCAGCCGAGCCCCAGACATCTTCCCTTGACCGAGGTCTCTTCACATCAGCCTGCTCGCTTTGGCCTTGCAGAAACCCGAGGTGTGGCGCCTGGAGGGTCATGGTTTCAGCTTACTCTCCAGGAAACTAAGAGTTTTCTATGGAAAATCAGAAAATCACCATGTTGAACATGTTGGTTAACTAACAGTTTTGTTTTAATGGAAAATCACCATGCTGAACAGGAAAACCATGATAAACCAACTATGGACTGGGTCATTGTCCGTAGCAATGTAACAAATTACCGTACCGGAAGGGTATAAACCTGGCTGGAGTTTTGCGACAAAATCATCTGAGGTCTTAGGCATAGAAATCAATCAGCTTGTTGGCCAAAGAAGTGAAACCTGACCTAATTGTTTCATTTTTTTTTATACATCTATGAGTTTGGTGATTTTGTCACATATTATTGTCCATTTGTATATTATAAATCAATCATACATTGTCCATACTTGTATTTTTAATACACTTGAATGGGTTTGTGATTTTGGTGGGCCTAAACAGCGTGCTACTGTATGTTATATGTTGCTGTTTAACTATATTTCTACATATTTCTATAGATGCTCTATTTCGGCATCAAGTGATACGGGTCCAGCCATTGGACTACGGATAGTCCGCCATCAACATATGGGCGCTGCTAAACCTCTATTGGTTGATGAAATTGCATAGGGGATTATAGTTGTACTAACCAGTATAATCATTGGGGAATATCAAAATCCACTAGGGGTGGTTAAACATCAAATATTTTATCTGTAGCTATAAACAGTCAATGAACCGTGCCAACCAGCTTTTCACATGGATTATGTCATGTCCCCCTATGTGTGATCAACCAAGTCAACTGTTAACAAACGTTTGATTCAGGAAATGGACTGGCCCTTTTTGTATGGTCTCTCCTAAGGTTTCAATATATATATATATATGTGTATACATATATATAGATATACTGTCTGTATGAATGGTGAAAATGAGGGTCTAAGCCACCGGGCAAAATTGGACGGACAAAAACGTTGAACACATTCACCCGAATTCTGGGTGCCTGGTACTGTAGGAAGCCATTAGGATGCTACAAAAGCTCGTGCATTCTTTGGATGTGGCGGTCATGGTTCTGGTGATGGCCGCCTGGCCGAAGTCTGTGTGGAACAGAGAATCCCCTTCTGGGGAATGTGTTGAATGTGTTTCACAGAAGAGCATGTTCGATCCTTGCAAGCGCGACTGGAGAAGAGGGTCTTCGACCTCAGGATGGCAAAAATTTCGCTGATCCTGTGGAGCACTTTCGCACAGTGTCCCATTTTGAGAGGCTCCAATCCTATTGTACTTGTTGACTCATCTCACGGAGCGTAAGTAGATTACAACCTCAGTTCTAAGTGGATTAACCCTACTTCTCCCACTTATAACCAGGGATATAACCTTAGTGGGATGAGGTACCACGTATTGTTCAGCGCCACGAATATCCCAGGATGTGTTGCCTGAGTCAGAGCCTCAGTTGGCCGAACTGCAGATGGTCAGGAAATGTTAGGAACAACGCATTTTTTCTTGACTATGTGACTATCTGAGATTTCATTGGAAACCAAACGAAATGGTGTTTTGATGGTCCATTTATAGATGGTTTACCTATTAATAGCATGGTGATTTTCCATGGCTATGTTAAATAACCAGATGGTATAGGGCATGGGATTTATAGAACCAACCCTTAAATTGTGATTTTCCATGGGGTTTTTAGGTTTCTTTCAGCCAAAGAAGTGGTGATTTGATGGAATTGATGTTCATCAAACGTGGGCAAGTTGGGATGACCAAGCGTCATGGTGGTGGCACATTGGAGGACAGTCATCCAGTAGAATGTGGGGGGTTCCATCAATGGGGGTACCCCCATAGCTGGATGGTTTATCATGGAAAATCCCATTTTTTTTTAATGGATGACTGGAGGAAGCCCTATTTTAGGACACCCTCCTATGGGTTTTTACAACTGGTTGGTGGTTTTAAACATTTTTTTGTTTTCCATAATATATGGTATGCCATCCTTTCCATTGACTTTCATATTTTCAGAGGGGTTCAAACCACCAACCAGCTTTTATCACCATGGTTTATAGATTGTTTCCACATACCCTCTGGTAAACTAACAAAAAACTATGGAAATTTACCATGCTATTAATGGGTAAATCAACTATTTCAAGATGGTTAAAACCATCAACCAGATATATATATATTAACCATGATAAAACATATAATAACCATATATTAATAGTATATTACAAACCAATAAGACAATGTTTTACAGATATTCCATGTTTTTCCCCACCAGGTGAGGGTCACCAGACATTTTGACCTCCTTCCCTGCCTTCCTTCACCACGTGTACCCGAACCCCAGAGAGGATGCCATGTCAGATAAAATGTCAGAATATACTGTGTAATACTGTGTACATACTGTGTACATACTGTGCACATACATACACACACAAACACATACATACATACATACATACATATATATATATACATATACCATGCATACTTCCAGATGATTCGTCAGAAACTATGTCAGAAAAGTGTGGCCGGGTGGGGATCACTCGAAGTGGCAGGTAATTCATGGTGTTTATTGAAAAACTGGTGGCTTGAACTGCCTCTTGGCCGTTGTTCGCTCCACCGCTTTGGTTACATGTGCCTTTTTGTTGGCCTTGTCTGAAAGCAGGCTTCGCAAAGAATTAATGGCTTAGAAACTTA